TTATTTTTGGCTGCATTGGGTCTTCGTTGCTGCACGCGGGCTTTCTCTAGTTGCGGCAAGAGGGGGTTACTCTTTGTTGCGGTGCGCGGGCTTCTCACTGCGGTGGCTTCTCTTGTTGCGGAGCACGGGATCTAGGTGCATGGGCTTCAGTAGTTGTGGCTCGTGGGCTCAGTAGTTGTGGCTCGTGGGCTCTAGAGCTCAGGCTCAGTAGTTGTGGCACACGGGCTTAGTTGCTCCGCAGCATGTGGGATCTTCCCGGACCAGGGATTGAACCCGTGTCCCCTGCATTGACAGGCGATTCTTAACCACTGCTCCACCAGGGAAGCCCCTTGCAGGGACTTTAAACCAAACTTCAGAATCAACTCCTAATATTTCCTATCAGCAGCCTGTTTCCTACTCTTCTGTGTTAAATGGACTTTGTTTAAATGGCTCATTGTTTGCAGCACATGTTCAGAGAAGAAAAGCAGATAATAATAATGTTACAGCCACCCTTTATTAAAAAGACTTCACTGTGTGCCAGCCAGGTACTCTTCTTAGCTCTTTATGTGTTTTATATCATGTGATCCTCATAACAGTAGTTCTCATAAGGACTGTTGGGATTTTCACAGATGAGGACCCTGAGGCTGAGATAAGGCAGCTTGCCCTCAGTCACACAGTAAGTCATCTGCAGAGCCAGGACTCAAGCCTTGGTCTGTCCAAGTTCTTACTGGCCGACGGTACTACCTCACTCCCACCAAGGTCAGCAGCCACTCTCATTCTTTCTCCATCAGTGTGGGCCACGACATCCCTGCCTGTTCCACGGCCTGATCGGGGGCCAGCTTTCCCAGGGCAAGTAGCACATGTTTTAAGAGAGAACCTTATCCAATTCCTGTGACAGATTCATGATAAGTGAGTGACCAAAGGAAAGGTGTTTTAGACTAATTTTTACCTCTACCAAAATATCAAACTGGCATGTTCCAAGTCTCCGCCTTCTCTCTAATTCAGGGTTTCTTAACCTGGGACTATGGATGGGCCTCAGGGAGCCCATGAGCCCTCTGAAATGGTGTGTAGAATGTTGAATTGCTGGGGGTGGGGTGGGGGTTAGCTTCTGTGCTTTTTTTGTGGGAACCATGGCTCTCAGGGGACATTCAAAGTGGTACTGTCTCAAACAGTGTTAAGAACCTTGTACTAATTGCAATGAGGTATAAAATTGGTTTTACCTAAATTACAAACTCAGCCTTAACCCAGGAAATTATTAGAATTTTTTCCTCCTTGAAAGTGTATTTAAACAGAACAGATTTCAAATTTAATCGTCTTTGAAGGCAAAAATACCTCTGTGTGTGAAGCCGTGATTTCCACAGCCTTCTGATAGGAGTCAGCCAACAGCGGGTGTGGGTGTGATTCAGAGATCTGCGGCTGATTCCATAGCTTCTCTTCTTCTTGAATTCAGTTAAAATTTTCGTGGTAGAAGTAAGAGACAGGCAAAATGAACCGTGGGGACTATGTCTCTTCATTAAGTATTTTCATGCTTACTGTGTGCCAGGTATTAGGAATTTCACAGTGCATAAAGAGTTCCTGCCCTTGTGGAGTTTGCATATCCTGATCTGTGTACATCTTCGTATCATTAATGCTTAGCAAAGAACACTGCACATAGTGGGGCTCAACTATTGGATCAATAAATGTCCCTGCTTGCATCCTTATTGGGTTAAAAGGAAGGCCTTTGACTTTGATTTGTTCAACAGCTGACTGTTCCGATTATGTTCCAGGCATTGAGCTGGGCGCTAGAGGTATGGTGGTAAGCAAAACAGATGTGGCCTGTTTCCTAGTGGGAAGACAGTTAATCAAGTAAGCACATAAATAAATAATTATGAACTTGGACAGCTGCCATGGAGGATTTGGCTTGACGCTATGAGAATATATAATGAAAGACCAAGCCTGATAGGGGGAAGAGACTGTCAGGGAAGGGTTCACTAAGAAGTGATGTGGAGGGACTTCCCTGGTGGTGCAGTGGTTAAGAATCCACCTGCCAATGCAGGAGACACAGGTTTGATTCCTGGTCTGGGAAGATCCCACATTGCCGCGGAGCAGCTAAGCCCGTGCGCCACAACTACTGAGCCTGCACTTTAGAGCCCGCGAGCCACAAGTACTGAAGCACACGTGCCACAACTACTGAAGCCTGCACACCTAGAGCCCGTGCTCCACAAAAAGAGAAGCCACTGCAATGAGAAGCCTGCGCACCACAGTGAAGAGCAGCCGCCGATCACTGCAACTAGAGAAAGCCTGCCAGGAACAAGCAACGAAGACCCAATGCAGCCAAAAAAAAAAACAAAAAAAAAAGTGATGTGGAGCTCTGATCTGAAAGGTGAAGCGGAGTGATCCAGGCACAGGGTTGCACAGGCAGAGGGACCAGGCTTGCAGTGTACGTTCGCTTTGGATGCCATTTCCATGTAGAAGACAGGTTGATGCAAAGGGGCGGGGCGGGTGGTGGTGTGGGTTCCCTTCTCATTAATTTAGCAAGCATTTCTGGGCGCTCTCTGTGCATGCGCAGGGGACAACAGTGAGTGAGACGCAGTTCTGACCTGGAGAAGGCACTGATAATGGGACAGGCGGGCTGAGAGGTGCTGGTCTTTCCTGGGTGCTGCCTCATAAGGACACTTGAATTGCTGCTTTTGCTGCTGATACCTCTCGTTCCTCATTCAGGCATCAGTCTTTTTCACAGGGTCTCTGCCTCAGAGGCAACCTGAACTAGTTGACTCTGGTATGCAGCCACATGCTCCGGAAGTCAGGATCAGCTATGAACCCATTATAAGCAGTGTTATGTTTGTTTATTTTTTGTTTGTAATGGGGTTGGAGGGGGTGGGGTAAGGCATTCAAGGGAAAGAGAGGGAAGAAGAGAGAGACCGAGAAGTGAGGCTGAGAGTTGGGAAGGCAAGTCTCAGCTGGGAAAGAAGTCAGAACTCTGGACCAGCAAGCTCTGCGTAGAGAAGTGAGCAGAGCTTTGTCTCAGAGAAGCCCAGGGTATGAGAATTGTTTTTAAACAGCGTTCACTTTGTTAGCTTAATTATAAATGTAATTCATGCTCAATGTAGAAAATGTGGAAGCATAGGAAACACAAAGAAATGCCCATATCCTATCACAGAACTGAAAGAACCAAATGAGGTGACATGTGTGAAGGGCCTGGCATGTCTGGGGCACTTATTACACACTAACTGCTCTTACAGTGTGAGGGAGAATCAACCCTTTTGCTCTGAGAATGAGACATTTATAATAAAGGCTAATGAAAGGTAGAAAAAATCACTTTGTAATTAGCCTTTTAAAATGTATGTTTATGAGAAAAATGTTAATTCTTCCTTACCCCAGCATGAGAATGACAAGTTGAAGAATCCTGAAGATTTGTGAGAATGTTTTGTAGGATTTGGTGTCAGTTCTCTTTTTTATAAAGCACGAGGGGAGCCTTGTATCCCTGCCCTTCCTTGTCATTTATACAGACTGACAGCAGAGAGTACTGGGAGGAAATGTTTGCTGCCCACAAGCCTCATTTAGTTTCTGTTCCTCTGCTATTGATCTGTTAGGATTGTTTATAAATTTACTGATCACAAAGTTGTTCTATTTAAGTGCTTTGTGAATCACTTACACGCACGATAAACATTCACCCCAGCATTGGCCTTAAACCGCAGAAGATCTAGGTTTAGGGATGTCCGTTTCCAGCTTGTGGCCTCACCCCAGGTGTTTAGTGGGCATCTTTCTATAGACTGCAGCCGGGGCATAGTGCTGCACGGCTCCTAGCTGCCTCCCCTCGGGCAGCGGCCAAACTCCAGGAGCAAACTCTAATTGAGGCAGGCCTGTAAACGGCCCGACAGGGCCAGGTGTCCACAGAATCAGTTGGAGAGGAACACCAGGCAGCTCGAGTAAGACAGAAAGGGAAGAATGGAGCAGGGATTGGAGATGCTGACATCAGCCTGCCAAAAACTTGGGCCTGTCCCATCCCCTTTCTATGGCTCAGTATTTTCTTCTGTAAACTAAGGAAGTTGGACTAGACTAGCTCTGTGATTCCTAGGAACTGGAGGCTAAAAGTCAGATTTGTGAGTCAGCAGTGTAGTAGTTTGTAGTGGTTGGTAAAAAAAAGCTTGAGAGAAAGAAGACAGTAGTTTAATGGGATGGAAGAGCAGCTAAATAGAACGCTCAGCAGAACTGTGTGTTTAAGGGCAGAGAGAACTGTGCCTGTTTACAGGCAGCACAGAAGGTGCTAGTTGAAAGGAAAGTGGTAGATGGTAGGACAGTGAGGTAGCTACAGCTTGAACTTTGGATGATGCCTCGCGGCCTGGGCTCAGATCCTGAACCTGCTGGTCGCTAACTGAGTGACTTTGGTCAAGTCACGTAACTTCCTTATATCTCAGTTCACTTGCCTCTAAAATGAGGATACTAATGCCGTACCTTGTAGAGCTGTCATGAGGTCACAGAATGAAAGCACCTGCAGCAGTGCTGGTATGTGCTAAAGAAGTGGCCCATGAGGTGGAGGAGGAAGATGGACAGTCAGACCTAGAGCTCAGGTAGGAGGGGTTATCTGTTGGGTGCTCATTCTGACTACTGGTAAAAACTTCAGCAACCAGTTATCCCCAGCAGACCCATGGACATGATGGTAGTCATTGAGTAAGAATTTTAGGTCCTGGGCTCATGTGCAGGAAACACCACTTTCATAGTAACTTGGGATGCCCAGGTCAGCAGAGGTCTTGGTCTTCAGGGCAAGCCCTGAAAGCACCCACCCGTTGCTGATCCTTTTTTTTTTTTGGCGGTACGCGGGCCTCCCACTGTTGTGGCCTCTCCCGTTGTGGAGCACAGGCTCTGGACGCGCAGGCTCAGGGGCCATGGCTCACGGGCCTAGCAGCTCCGCGGCATGTGGGATCCTCCCGGACCGGGGCACGAACCCGTGTCCCCTGCATCGGCAGGCGGACTCTCAACCACTGCGCCACCAGGGAAGCCCCTCTGATACTTTTTAATTTGTGCTGTGCTTTATCCTACAGATTAGTCAGAAGAAGTTGAAAAAATATGAAAAAGAATATCACACCATGAGGGAACAGCAGGCCCAACAAGAAGACCCCATCGAGCGATTTGAGGTTTGTTTACGGCCTAGGTGATGTGAAGTGTTTTCAGCCTTTCATTTTACATAATTGTGCCTGTAACTAGCTTTAGTGAGTTCTTTTTAAAATTTAGTTTCACTATTTCTAGGGTCCAGTTTCAGTTTGAGTTTGCAAATGAGAAAGTAAGATTTGTTTTGCTTCAGACTAGCAGCCTAGTTTGTTACAGTTCGGTGGGCTTTTGTCACAGTTAATAAGAAGTAGCTGCTTGACAGTCACTTGAATTTCAGTATTTCTCTGTGGAGATAGAAAGTAAGCAGTTGTTGACTGGCAGCACGTTAGGACCAGCCACATCTCCCGTGATTCCCGTAGGACTCAGCAGTTAGTTTTGGGGGTTAACCTGAGAAGTTGTCATTACCATCTGATTTTTATGTCTGTAACTGGTTTCTTTTTACCCATCAGCGGGAGAATAGGCGTCTACAAGAAGCTAACATGAGGTTGGAACAGGAAAATGATGACTTAGCCCATGAGCTGGTGACCAGTAAGATTGCACTGCGAAAGGACCTGGATAACGTAAGTCTGACTTGTCTGAAGGGATGATTATATTGAAACACTTCTCCCTTAATCAAGTGAAATCCTGGAATTTTAGTGTTTGTTGTTCTAGTGTTTCCCTCTTATGATCCACCTTGCTCTTGTCAGTACTGTTCCCTCCTCTCCTTCAGGATCATCCATGATCTCATTAAGGCCTCCTTACCGCATTCTTCTCTCATTATACAGCAAACCCTGAACGCCTTTCCAGACATTGATTGAAAGGTGTTTCTGGCTATTCTTATGTTATTGCAATTGGCAGTAGCATTTAATCACTATAATTTCCTTAACTTACCCCTAAGACAAGAACAGATTTTGTCATCCTGCACATCACGTGCCTGTTGGATAAGCATTGCCAGTTGTAATAAAGCTCAGTGCCTCCGCAGCTTGCAATTTCATCAGGAATTTCTGTTGGCAGATATTCTGTTTTTCTTTGCTTCTCCTAATCTTAAAAGGTTTGAGATGATGGCATTCCTGGCAGGGTGTTTGTCCAATTTCTATACTACAGGCTTCCCATAGTGCACTCTCTCATTCATGGTTTAGGTCGAGGTTGGCGAATGTTTTCTGTAAAGGGACAGATAGTAAATATTTTAGGCTTTGTGGGCCACATGGTCTCTGTTGCAACTATGTAACTCTGCCATTGGTGCCTACACAATAAATAAACGAATGCACATGGCTGTGTTCCAGTAAAACTTTATTTACGAGAATAGGTGGCAGGCTGGCTTTGGCGCTTGGACAAAGTTTGGCAGCACCTGACTTACGTTTCCCTTCAGGCTCCTAAGATTACTTTTCTGCTTGTTGATTTTCCTGAGGCTCTGGAGATAGGCTTAGGCTATTGAGGCTTTACAGGGGACTTAACATAATATATTGAACCCCTTAGGACCTGTGAACTTCACAAGGTCCTTGACAGCCACCAACATGTATGAAAATATTGTGTACTACTGTATTTCTCTGACAGTCTTTGCTTTCATTAGATTCTCCAAGTGAGTCACATCGCAGATGAAGAGAAAGAGAGATGGCAGTATCTACTGGTTCTTATTACTTCTCTTTAGAAATAGAATAATGGAGTAAAATTTTGAACAGGTCTGGATTCTACCATCAGCTACTCTACTTTCAAGCAGGGTGAAGTGTGGGGAGGTGGAATAATAGCTGTGTCCAAGAGTATAGTGAGAATTACGTGATTTGGTGTGTATGAAAGTGCAGGAATTAGGCACAGGCAGTGTTGTTTCACTCTCTTTGTCTGATTGTCAGCTATAAGTAGCTGCAGGTAACTGGGAAGACTCCTTTTTCCAGTTTTTCCAGGGAGGGTGTTGCAAGGCCATTAGCCCTCAGTAACCAGAACCTGGAGATCCTGTTGCTTTTTGGTTTACCACAGTCTCCTTAGGTTGGAGTTTCCTCCCTGTGGTGCAGGTTCCCAGCATACCCTCTGATCTTCTTTGTAGAAACACTATGAGAATCATTCCCTCACTGTTCAGGCATTTCTGCCAAGTGAGCGGAGGGAGGAGGGTGTACACTGAGCAGGGTAATTGCTGAAGCAAAAATCACAGTGTGCACCTGTGATGGCTCTTCTAGCAGCTGTAGGTCATGCAGAAAGGAAGTGAAAAAGAAAAGAAAATGGGTCCTGTACTAGAGCTTTGTATTCTACAATGAAATTATATTAAGAGGCAACTTAAGATAAAATTCCAGGCAGATTTTTAGTTTGAGCTGTTGCATTTGCCAGTCTGATGGGACCAGAAGTAACATTGATGCTCTACTAGTTTAGGGTGGAAAATATACTTCTTAGGTTCTTGAAGCCTGCCTCTAAAGAGGGTAAGCCTTTTTTTAAGTTGTCTTTGCCTGGCACAGTAGTCAAAGAGCTAGGTTACATTTCTGGTATCAGAAGTGAGAAATAGTAAAAATAAGATGAATTCCCATTTACTCTATGATGATGTATGTGACAGGCACAGTCAGAAGCACTTTGTTAAACTCTAATATCTCTTATCCTTACCTCAGCCTTGTAACATGAGCCCCATTTATGGATAAGGATTTTTTAACAATAAAGAAACTTGAGACTCAAGAGAGAGGAAGGCACCCAGGAAGAAGCTAAGCCAGGAATGTAACCCAGGTGCATCTAATTGAAACACCCAGGCTTTTTCTGTAATGCCACACTGTCTCCAAAATAAATATGGAACAAGAAGCTATGGTTTGATGTCATAACTACATCAAAAATATACTGACACCTAACAGAACATTTCTTAAGCACTTACAGAGTTCTAGACACTGCTCCACGTGCTGTGTACTTACTGTCAAATCCTCCAAACAACCCTTGTGTAAAGGATACAGTTACGATCCCCATTTCACTGATGAGGCCAAAAGAGGTTAAATGTCTTACACAGTCACACTGTTAGTGGCAGAGCCCTTAGACTGCAGTCCAGCTGGCCTGCCGCTCTTAACTTGGCTCAGAGGAGCAGGAACCCTGTTGCCACTAGGGCTCAGGAATAGCAAACTGGGGTCCCATCGTCCAGCCATCGACGGTGCTGAGAAAACAGACCTTTTCACACTAAACGTTGAGTCCCTTTCCAAGTTAGTCTTCTCTCGTATCTTTTGAATCATCACAGAAAATCAGAGGTTCTGAAGTGAGGGCTGTGGGGTCCTCTCAGCGTGTTTTGGCTTCAGGGACTTAGATTTCTGAAAGAACTTCATCATGCCCTTTCACTCTTCCCTTTCTGCATCCCAGAGAAAAGCTCTCATATGTGGCTTATAGAATTTCCAGAACCCTCTTTGTATTTCCAACTGATTTTATTATCACTTTTGTTATTCCTCACCTGTCATTTCTGTTACTTGTCACAAAGCAGCTATGGAGAGATCCCCGGTCAGCTACTGAGTCCCTAGGTGACTCCATCCAAGCTTTCTCCTCTATGAAATGGGAGTAATGCGTGGACCTGACATTAAGGCATTGGTGCTAAAGGCTGAGAGGGAACCTGTGGAAGGTACCTGGCACAGGGCTGATAGGACCCCACCTGAGTCCCCTCTGGCATGGTTGCTCTCTGCATTGAGACAGTGTAATGTGGGAGTGATGGAAACAGACTCAGGAGCTCAACTCCTGGGATTTGAATTCTGGCTCCACTGCATTCTAGTTCTCTGAACTTGAGCAGGTGGCTAAACTTTCCCCACTGAATTACTTTGGTCTCTTTATCAAAAATCAATTGACCTGGGCTTCCCTGGTGGCGCAGTGGTTGAGAGTCCACCTGCTGATGCAGGGGACGCGGGTTCGTGCCCCGGTCCGGGAAGATCCCACATGCCGTGGAGTGGCTGGTCCCGTGAGCCATGGCCGCTGAGCCTGCATGTCCGGAGCCCGTGTTCCGCAACGGGAGAGGCCACAACAGTGAGAGGCCCGCGTACCGCAAAAAAAAAAAAAAAAAATCAATTGACCTGTATGTATGGGTCTCCTCGATTCTGTATCTCCTCCATTGATGTATACATCTATCATTAATGCCAATACCACACTGTCATAATTACTCAGGTCATGGGAGTCCTCCAATTTTGTTGTTCTTTTTAAAAAATAATTTGGCTATTGTAAGTAATTTGCATTTCTATATAAATACTAGAATCAGTTTGTCAACTTCTAGAAATAAAAGCCTTCTGGGATTTTGAGTGGGGTTGTATTGAATCTGTAAATTAGCTTGGGGAGTATATTAACATCTGAGCAGTGATTGAACCTTCCAATCCATGAATATGTTACAATTTTCATTTATTTAGGTCTTTTTCAATTTCAGCATTGTTTTCTTAGTTTTCAGTTTACAAGATTTGCACATATTTTAATCTGTTATTAAGGGTAATTTTTTCTTTCTTTTTTTAAATAAATTTATTTATTTTTGGCTGTGTCATTGGGTCTTCGTTGCTGCGTGTGGGCTTTCTTCTAGTTGTGGCGAGCAAGGGGTACTCTTCACTGCAGTGTGCAGTCTTCTCATTGTTGCAGATCACGGGCTCTAGGTGCATGTGCTTCAGTAGTTGTGACACGCGGGCCCAGTAGTTGTGGCTTGCAGGCTCTAGAGCACAGGCTCAGTAGTTGTGGCGCACAGGCTTAGTTGCTCCATGGCATGTGGGATCTTCCCAGACCAGGGATCGAACCCGTGTCCCTTGAATTGGCAGGTAGATTCTTAACCACCGTGCCACCAGGGAAGTCCCAAGGGTAATTTTTTCTTAATTGCATTTTCCAATTATTTATTGCTAGTCTCTAGAAATACAGTTGATTACATGACCTTGTATCCTGTGACCTTGCTAAATCACTATTCTTGTAGCTTTTTTGTTTATTTTTTAGGATTTTCCACATACACAATCATATCATCTCTGAATAAAGACAGTTTTACTTCTTTTCAAGTCATTCTGTCTTTTTTCCCTTGCCTTCCTGCACTGACTGGGACCTTCGGAACAATATTGGATGGTGAGAGTGGACCTCATCACCTTGTTCCAGTTAGCTGTAGGTTTTCCATAGATCAGGCTGAGGAAGTTCTCCTTTCTTCCTGTTTGCTGAGAGTTGTCATGAATGGGTGTTGAATTTGATCAAATGATCTTCCTGCATCTGTTGAGGTGATTATTTGCTATTTTTCCTAATTCTCTTAGTACAGTGAAGTGTAGACAAACTGATTTTTCAGTGTACACAAACATTGCATTCCTAGGAAACGTGGGGTTTCTTTTTTCTTTTAAGATTTTTATTTGTATTAAAGATTTTTGTGTTGCTAAGGAATATTTGTCTGGAGTTTCTTTAATGTTTTTGTCTGGTTTTGATATCAGGGAAATGCTAGCCTTCTAAAATGAACTGGGAATTGTTCCCTCCTATTTTTTAAGGACTTTTTGTGGGATTGTTCCTTGATTAAATCTTTAATTCCCTAATGAAACCACGTGGGCCTGGAGTTTTCTTAGCAAGAAAAAAAATTTTTTTTTTTTCTTGCTGCGTTGGGTCTTCGTTGCTGCGCGCAGGCTTTCTCTAGTTGTGGCGAGCGGAGGCTACTCTTCATTGCAGTGCACAGGCTTCTCGTTGTGGTGGCTTCTCTTGTTGCGGAGGCTTCTCTTGTTGCGGAGCACGGGCTCTAGGCACGGGCTTCAGTAGTTGTGGCGCACGGGCTTAGTTGCTCTGCAGCATGTGGGATCTTCCCAGACCAGGGATTGAGGCCGTGTTCCCTGCATTGGCAGGCGGATTCTTAACCACTGTGCCACCAGGGAAGTCCAGCAGGAAATTATTTAATTATGATTTCAGATATGGAGCTATTCAAATTTTCTAATTCTTCATGTGTACATTTTTATACTTTGTGCCTTTCAAGTGATTTATCCATTTCATCTTAGTTGTCAAATACATAGGCACAGAGTCGTTGATATTCCCTTATTCTTTTAATGTTTATAGGATGGATTTGTTGAAGTCTTCTCTCTTTTGTTACTGATATGGGTAATTTGTGTCTTTTCCCTTTTTTCCTTAATCAGTCTGCTAACTAGAAGTTTATCAATTGTGTTGATCTCTTTAAAACCAAGCTTTTGGTTTTGTTGATTTCTTTTTCTTTTATTGATTTCTGCTTTTTATTATTTCCTACTTTTCTTTTGGTTTAATTTGCTCTTTTTCTGGCTACTTAAAGAAGAAGCTTAGTCATTGATTTGGACCTTTCATCTTTTCTAAAATAAGCATTTAAAGTTATAAATCTCCCTGAAGCACTATTTCAGCTACATCTCACACATTCTGATGTGTCGTGTTTTTATTTTCATTCACTTCTTGTGATTGCTTCTTTGATCTCTGAGTTAATTAGTAGTGTGTTGTTTAATTTTTAACTATTAGGGATTTGTCCCCGAAATTTTTCTGTTGTTGATTTCTGATTTAATTCAGTTGTCATCAGGGTACATATTTTTTCTGATTTTATTGCTTTTAAAACATACTTATGCTTATTTTAGGGCTTTCCATATTGTCTGATGGGTGAATGTGCCACGTGCTCTTGGAGAGTTTGTGTGTCCTGTTGTTGTCGGTGGGGCGTTCTGTCATGTCACTTCTGTCAAGTTGATTGACTTCCACGGATTTACTGCCTTTCTCTTTATTTGTTCTATCACTTACTGAGAGAACAGTGAGGAAATCTGTAACTCTGTGCACTTATCTATTTCTCCTTTCAGTTATGTCAGTTTTTGTTTTCCTGTAATTTGAATTTATGAATGCATTTCAGATTTACTGCCTTCTGGAGTGACTCTTTTATTGTTATGAAATGTCCCTCTTTGTCCGTGGTTAATACTCTTTGTTCTGAGATCTACTTCGTCTGATGTTAATATAGCCATTCCGACTTTCATGGTATTTCATGGTATATCCTTTTCCATACTTTTACTTTTAACATATCTGTGTCTTTATATTTAAAATGGGGTTTTGTAGCCAGCATATAGTTGGATCTTGCTTTTTGAAATTTAGTCTGATAATCTCCTTCTTTTAATTGGAATGTTTAGACCAGTTACATTTAATGTAATTATTTATATGGTATATTTAACTCTACCACTTGCTGTTTGTTCTCCATTTGTTGTATTTGCTTTTTCTTTCTTTTTTCCCCTTTTCTGCCTTCTTTGGTTTAATTGGGTATTTTCATGATTTCATTTTATCTCCTTTACTGCCTTATTCGCAGTTCTGGAGCGCTCAGATCTCCAGAGCTCTACTCCACAGGTTCCAGCCACCTCAGCATCTCTGACCCCCTATCTCTGCCTCCTGAACCCTTTGAGGCATATGCTCTGTTTGGAACTCCTCACCCTGCTCCTTGGTCCAGAAGTGCCTCTAGGCAGAAAGCCAGAATGGTAGTAGGACCTTGCTTGTTTCCTTTCTCCCAGGAACCACAATTCTGCATTTGTTTTTAGTGTCAGCAAACAGTAGTTTTATGTATTTCGTCCAGTGTTTTGTTTACAGTGAGAGGGTAAATCTGGTCCTGGTTAGTCCTTTATGACCAGAAGCGGAAGTCTGGACTTGTGTTTATCGCCACATGTTCCCTCCTTATGTGCTTATGTAAGTAGAATGACTGTGCAGCAAGTGTGGTGCCATAAGAGGACCCTGGCTGGTCAGTCCAGTGGCCTGTGTGCACCTTCCTATTGACACAGCCTTGAGAGTCAGCTCTTGGAGTGATGGCACAAATGCTGGGCTTAATGTTGAGAGACCTGGTTTCGGATTCCAGCTCTGCTACATGCATTGTGCAAGCTTGGGGAAATCACTTCCCCATCTAAATTTTTTTCTAAGCTGGGTAATCAGGATGGGCCAGGAAGACTCTTGAGTCCATGACCTGGCTGTCCCGTACTTCTTAGAATCAGTCTTATCTACCATGGGAGTGATGGTGACTAACTGAGAGAATATAAGTGTGTGCTACAGGTTCCAAAGTACTGTTCAGAAGATGTTAACTGGGTCCAGGGGAGAGAAGGGAGAGGTAACAGGATGTTCTGTTGATTAAAGTAAAACAGAATCTTTTGACAGGACTTTATTCTTCTTTGTTATTTCCTCTTTTGTTTGATTCTTATTTCCATTTTGATTGCTACTGGGGTTTGAACTAGAGGTGATTATAAGCCACTCACCAGAAAGGACAGGCCTTAACTCCAGGACCCCATTTAATTGCACGCATATGCAAGTAACTGATGGCCTTTTGCATATCATGCCATTCTCAGTTCTCCATTTAAGGCCCCAGCCGCCTGGAACCTATGCCTCCCAAAGAAAGTACGTCAGAAGATGTGGTGTAGTAGAAAGCAGAGGGGCTCAGCTATACCACTTTAGCTAGGTGACATCTGAAATGCTCTTTAATTTCAGGGAAACCACCATCCATTGTCAAAGGAGGTTGGATATAAGGAGCTGGCAAAGACCCTCTATATCTAGCACTCTGTAACTAGGAGTTTCCACCTCCTTTCCTTGACTGCCTTCTAACATGCTACAGTCTCTCATTCTTCAGTTATCCTTGGACTCTCCAGTGTCAGGGACTGTATTTGTCAGGTACAGGTGTATCATTTTCACTTGGACCCAAAGGTCTGCCCACCAGACCTTTGCATGCTTTAGAAAAAAACTGGGGTGGAAGATGGCCATTTCAGATAATAAAAGGAGAGTGCTAGCAAAGGGGTGCCTTCCTTTGTCAGGTGACAGGGAGAGCAAAATGCAGAACTTATTTGATTAAGCAGAGCAAATACTGAGAGTTTGGAAGAAGAAAACCAGAATTTATTATTACTATTAATGATAATGACACCTACCTTTTGTTGAGTGTTTACTATATGCTAGGCACTGTGCTGAGTCCATTCCATGCCTTATCTCTCAGCTGAAGATCGTGAAGCTCAGAGAAGTTCTCAATGACTTGTCCAAGTGGCACACAGTCAGGGAGCAATGGGAGTCAAGACCAGGCTGTCTGACAAAGGCGAGCTCCTAGCTACTGCCCCGCACTGCCTCTGGGCAGGAGACGGGGCCAGACACTTGTGTGTGAGTGTAGTCTCAGCGTGACCTTGGGCATATCACGTCCCCTCTCTGGATCACAGTTTCCTTATCATCTTAAAATTGGATTGTTCTGGGTAATTCAAATCCCTTTCAGTTCTCACTTCTTGTTCTGTAACAGCACCTCTTAAATGTTTCAGGCTGAGGAAAAGGCAGATGCACTGAATAAGGAGCTGCTTATGACCAAACAGAAATTGATTGATGCAGAGGAAGAGAAAAGACGGCTGGAAGAAGAGTCTGCTCAGGTGAGGGGAGCTTTGCCCCTCCCACATTCCTCTGTGTCTTGCAAATGCTTGAGAGCTGGGAGTTCACTGGTGGCTTCCTGTTGGCACTGGAGAACCCAGAGACAGCTGGCTTCAGTTTCTCTCCAAAGGCCTTTTGTATTTACTGTGAAAAGCATAATGGTTCTTAATAATTAAAATGTAGGGGGTGACAGTGGGGCAAAGCCCATCCTTCACTGGGGCAGGAGAAATTCCTGTGTGTCAGCATCTGAGTGTGACAAGAGGGTTAGCATTTCTGCAAAAGGAAGGCAGACATCACATAATGTCTGGCTCTTCCCCTACCTGTCCACCGACATCTCCCCCACAGAGCAAACTCTGGAAGGCTTGTCCTGAGCATAGCCCCTGGGCGCAGACTCACAGCGATTGGAAGAGCTTTGGGTGCTGCATGCCCCAGAGCAGGCGGGCTCTCCTTCACCATCCACCTTCTCGTCTCAGTCAGGCTGCCTGAGGTGAGAGATGGCGGGGCGCCTCCCACATAATCCATGAGGCACTGAAGGAGCAGCAGTCCTCCTGTTAGCTCTTCCTCTGCATTTGCTTTGTGTTACCTCTCAGCTCAGGATCCCAGGTAGGGCTGCACTGACAGGGAGGAACTTCAGCAAAAGCCGCAAGCTGAAAGTTCAGAAGTTTTGACTGTTCTCTCCTAGCATCAAGAGTAGGGTTAATGGGCTTCCCTGGTGGCACAGTGGTTGAGAGTCCGCCTGCCGATGCAGGGGACATGGGTTCGTGCCCCGGTCCGGGAAGATCCCACATGCCACGGAGCGGCTGGGCCCGTGAGCCATGGCCGCGGAGCCTGTGCTCCGCAACGGGAGAGGCCACAGCAGTGAGAGGCCTGCGTACCAGAAAAAAAAAAAAAAAAAAGAGTAGGGTTAGTAGTGCTGAGAGTGAGGAAGAAGGGAGGGGAGTTACCTCCAGTAGGTCAGGCACTTTGGGGAAAGCCCAGCGCTAAGCGCGGAGTGCCAGAGCTTCGCTTGTATTTCCCTTAACATTCACTTTTGCTTTTCTTAATGTACGCAGTTAAAAGAAATGTGCCGTCGGGAACTCGACAAGGCAGAATCTGAGATTAAAAAAAACAGTTCTATCATCGGTGACTACAAGCAGGTGGGTCCGTGCACCCTGGAATTGGGCCGTGTTCTCTGGAAGCCCTGCTTGCCTGCACAAGATGTCTTCTCCACACCCACACGCATCCCTGCTCGGCGACTTGCACTGACGAGTCCCTTCGCTTCACTGGACAAGTTACCGCACTGCTTTTCAACTGTAAAATAAGGGAAATCATCGCTCACGCGGAGAACTGTTGTGAGGAGTCCATGAGATTATCTTTGTGGAGTACCTGGCATAGTTCCCTCACATAAGCAGGCACTTAATACATGGAAGCCCCCGAGTTCTTGGGAGCACTTCAGACTCATGACGTAGAACCACCTCTCTCCCCAGCGGGTTGCATTTTGAGAACGTAACTGAATTGGTCTTATTTCTTTCTGTACTGGGATCTCGTGCTGGCTCCTGAGTCTGGCAGTGTCTGTAAACATTGGCCATCGAGCGTGGCACTGATAGGTCCCTGCATGTCCTAGGCCAGTGGATGCGGGGGTGGGAGAGCCAGAGGCACCTCTGCCCACCTGTCGTCTGACACCCGCTCCTGCTCAGTGCTGTCCCAGTTCCACTCCATAGTCCAGCTTCCACTGCAGAGCTCATCCCAAGCCCAAGTTGTGCGGATTATGACATTGCTGAAGAGATTGTCATTTTCTATTATGTTTGTTTCTTCAGATTTGTTCTCAGTTGAGTGAAAGATTAGAGAAGCAGCAGACTGCTAATAAAGTGGAAATTGAAAAAATTCGGGTAAGTCTTCCTTTATCAAAGACATTTTATACCACCTAGTTCATTTTATGGCTATATTCAGCACAAAAAATTTGGGGAGGGAGTATTCTGCTTTTTTTTTTTTTTAAATAACCTACCACTATTAGTAACAATACTATCTTTTTTTTTAAAATAAATTTATTTATGTATTTATTTATTTTGGGCTGCACTGGGTCTTCGTTGCTGTGCGTGGGCTTTCTCTAGTTGCGGCGGGCAGGGGCTACTCTTCGTCGTGGTGTGCGGGCTTCTCGTTGCAGTGGCGTCTCTTGCTGCCGAGCAGAGGCTCCGGGTGCGCGGGCTTCAGCAGTTGTGGCGTGCAGCCTCAATAGTTGTGGTGCACAGGCTTAGTTGCTCCGTGGCATGTGGGATCTTCCCGGACCAGAGCTCGAACCCATGTCCCCTGCGTTGGCAGGCGGATTCTTAACTACTGCACCACCAGGGAAGTCCCCGGGTATTCTGCTTTGATTCCAAAAATGAGGGAAGCTGATGAGTACCTGACAAGGTGGCTACAACTGACAACTGATATTCTGCCTCTTTCCTCTAGGCAGGGGATACAGATAAGACCAGAAGAGCTCTGGCATTAGATCTCAAAATACAAGTGTCCCTCTTCCTTACAAATTTGTGTAACGTCCTCCTCCGTGCTAACTTCTCTTGTAAAAAGACAAAACAAAACACAAGAGCCCCAGGACTTCAGGTGTTGTCTGTGATTACTGCAGCACCCTGCTGAGGTGGAAGAGTCCTGCAGGTGACAGGCTGTGCTTGAGGGTGGGGCGCAGAGGCCAGGTCACTCCCCACATTGTTCTGTAGCAGGGGGACACTCGCCTTCTGAGCTCAATTCCTCTTGCTGTAATGGGCCCAGATACAGTGAGAACCTGAGTTTTTAATGTTTGCTTGCCAATTTGAGGGGTTTTGTAACTTGGTGCTTTCTTTCTTTATTATTAGAATACTTGTCAGATTTTACTGAGATGAGTAATTTACTGAAAGATACTTTACTAACATGTTTACAACTCTGGACAGAAACGTGGGGGAGTCCATGGCCATGTCTGCACAAACCAGCATTTTACCTGGAGCAAGATGATACCTGGCCTCCATTATAAGTAGTGTTTAACCAGCAGTACCTATTTTTTAAACAAAATTTATTTTCTGATGCTAAAACTAATAATAATGTTCATTGCAGAAAATTTGGAAAATAAGAGTAAAGGAGGAAAAAAAACCCTTATAATCTTATTACCCACAGACAACATCATCATTAACACTTTGGCGTGTATTCTTTCAGTCTTTGTTCTAACATAGAAAATTTCATTCACTCTAAGGCATTTTTTTCACATTTACATCTGAAATTGGGACATATTTTATAACTCATGGCTTTTTGTGGTTTAATTGGCAGAATATTTTCTTAGAGGAAAACGAAATGATGTTTTCTTACAGTCATTGCCATCTTATTTTCATGAAATGTGGTATATCCTTGTAGCTATACTTTAAAGACATTTTTGTGTCCTAGTTTACCCAGCATTTAAACATTTTTACCATGTTACAAAAAATTCCTCAAAAACTTTTCTGAGGCTGTGTACTTCTTTGTATAAATATAGCACATCCTATTTAATTTTTCCCAGTAGCTGGATAATTTATCTCCCCACCCCTTTTTTGTGTCTCTAATTCTGCAGTGAAATTCCTTGTATGTAAATCTGTATCTAGTCACTGCTTTTTCATTTTTTTTTTGTTTGTTGTTTGTTTGGTTTTTTTGGGTTTTTTTGCAGTACGTGGGCCTCTCACTGTTGTGGCCTCTCCCGTTGTGGAGCACAGGCTCCGGACACGCAGGCTCACCAGCCATGGCTCACGGGCCCAGCCGCTCTGCGGCATGTGGGATCTTCCCGGACCGGGGCATGAACCTGCGTCCCCTGCATCAGCAGGCGGACTCTCAACCACTGCACCACCAGGGAAGCCCGCTTTTTCATTTTTTTAGCCAAGGTTCCTAGAAGTGAGATGACTGGATCAAGACATAAGAATATTTGTGTTGCTTTTGGTGTATAACACCAGGTGACTTTTCCAGTAGGTCATCTGCCAGTTTACAGAGAGAACACAGTTTTTCAGAAGCTGTAGTGCTCGGCAGAGAAGCCATCTCTTGGCTCCCCAGAAAGGAGATGCTCACACCTTCATGTCTTCTTTGTCTCTTCACATCTGACATTCAATTTCAGCAAAATGTGGATGACTGTGAGCGCTGCCGGGAATTTTTCAACAAAGAAGGGCGCATAAAGGGCATCAGCTCAGCTAAGGAAGTTTTGGATGAGGACACAGATGAGGAGAAGGAAACACTCAAGAACCAGCTGAGAGAGATGGAACTGGAACTGGCACAAACCAAGCTGCAGCTGGTGGAAGCTGAGTGTAAGATCCAGGTAACAGCTGCCTCTGTGCCCCCGGCCAGCCCTCTGCCCCTGGGGCGGCGGGACCCAGACCTGCACGGGGGCAGGATTTCCCTGGTGTGGGCTAGAAACCCCAGAAATGATCTTCATGGTTTGGGGTTTTTTTCCCTTTTAAACTTCTACCATAATCCTCATGGGAAGAAGCCCATTACTTGCTATTTACTAGTGGATGTTTAATTAGCATTTAGCCTGTCCTAACGATTGGACTTTCTCATAATGAGAATTATCCATCAAACTTGGAATCTTTCTGGTGGAGCAGAGAATGCATGATTTGAAATCACAGCTGCACCACCAAACTCTTTGACCTTGGGTTAGTGGTAACCTCCTTTCACTTCAGGTTCCTCCTCTGCCAGTGGAGGTGATGAGGGGTCACTCTGATAGTCTGCTTTGAGGACTAAAAAAGATAATGCACGGGAAGGGCTCAGCACGATATCTGAGGGCTTCACAAATACAGGCTTTTGTGCCCCCGCTCCCGTCACTTACCCAGCTTTGTGACTTTGGACGTATTACCTAATTTATCTGGGCCTCCTTTCCTTATGGAGAAACTGGGGCTTGTTTTGTTCATCGTTACACTGCATGGCTAGTTCCATCAGGCCTGATGCTGAGCACAAGGTAGGCACCAGGCACAGTTTGCAGAAGGAACCAAGTTCAGGACTAAAGCTTAAGCCCTGGTCTTCGTATCACACACGGTACCTGGGCGTCTACTTCGCCCAGGCCCGGTTCTCACTGTTGGGGCTGCACAGCTAGCACGTGGCCTCCGTGACCGTCCAAGGTGGCGAGGAGAGGCCTCACCAAGGACAGTATCTGGGCTGTAGTCCGAGAGTGAGCAGAGGTTGCTGCTGGAGAAAAGACAGAACAGTGAGCCTTCCTGGTGGAGGGCATGGTGTGTCCAGCAGCACAGAGGGAGGAGAGGGCCTGCCTGGAAGGGCCTTTAGGAAGTAGGGGTGGAAGTGGGTGCCAAGCTGGAAGAGTCTCTGCCCAGATTGTGAAGCATCTCGGACGTCTTGCTAGGGAGTCTAGGCTTGAAAGGCTCTTGCCGGAAATTAATGTTGCATTCTTAGGTAGAACATTCGGTCTGTCTCCTGGTATGCAGTGGGTGGACGGAGAGGGAGACGTTCAGGTAGGAGGCCGTTTTAATAAGTAGACGAGGCAAGAAATGAGGAGGTCTTAACTAGGAAATCTCCCAGAGCTTTAGGCACTCCAGATCTTTCTATGCCACTTTGAGAACTGGGGGAATTTCCAGAGCCCTCTCGAGAGGAAATAGACTGAATTCTTGGCTCGGCTCTGGGGAGGCAGTGTCATTAGCACTGGAGACCAGCATCCTCACGTACGTCGCTCTTCTTCCAGGACTTGGAGCACCATTTAGGCCTTGCCCTCAACGAGGTACAGGCGGCCAAGAAGACGTGGTTTAACCGAACACTGAGCTCCATAAAGACGGCAACCGGGGTTCAAGGGAAAGAGACTTGCTGAGAGCAGCTGCTGCCTCCAGACACCTTCAGAAAACATGACACCTTTTGTTGCCTTCTTTGGCCAGATGTGTGATTCTGTGACATGTCCCAGGACCAGAATGTACCTAAGTCAGATCCATAGAAGCATGTGGGTAGGTTGTTGGACCAGAGCTCATGAAGCAGGCAGCCTGTGCGGTAAGGCCCTCCTCACTCCTGATACTAACAGGCCTGCCGGCTGGCCTGCCACCCTGGACGTTCCAGAAAGCCACTCCTCCGTGTGACCTCCGGGCCTCTTCCCGGTTAGGTCAGCTCCTCACCCAGCCCAGCGGCTGAGTGACATTATCAGAGTCTGGGGATCCTTCAGGCCTTTGGTTTTTTTCTAAACCTTTAATCTTTTTTTTTAAAATACACATATTATTATATATTGGGGGAGGTGGGGCAGGGGATCGGTAGCTCAAATAATTATCTGCTCCAGTGCCAGCAGAGGGTCCTCCAGGTAGACATGGAGAAGCACTTTGTTTTAAATAGGAGGGTTTCATGGTTGTAGGTGAAGCCACCTAGTTTTGTTAAACTAACTCTACGATGCACAGGTTTTTGGTTTGGCATTATTCACATGTTTCTGATCAATTCTATGCAACTCTCATAGTTCCTGTTGTTTTTAGTGTTAGCTGCCAAATGACTCCCCAGTGCTGGGGTGGGTGACTTGACTGACTGTTGAGACTGGATTAATCATAACGTGGACAAACCTTATTTTGCTTAATGTGTCGTGTGTGTGTGTATATATAAATATCTTTTCCCAATGCACCCAATTGACAGTGTTTAAATCCCAGACTAGGACTGATCTGCACAACTTAATTATGTGGTTATTTTGGGCACTTAATTTCACTCAAGGTTTGTCGGGCTCTGCTCTCCACCCTGCTGTCGCGAGAGCTGTGAAGAGCTCCCTCACTTCAAGGTTCTAGTGTTTTTGCACAACAGCTTGTACAAGTGAGAAAGACTCTGAGGTGTGTGTGTGTATGTATGTGTGTGTGTAAATGTGAGGATGTGCAGGACACACATGCCAAGAGGCCCCCGTCCGGCTGGCCTGTGTCCCTGCCTGCCGGGGCCCTCCCCGGAGTGAGGCTGGGTGCAAACCTCGCTGTTCAGATGGGCTGCAAGTTCTCACTTCAGAACTATGGAATAGAGGTTTTAGCACCTTTTTTATAAACAAAATAACTTTAGACTTTTAATTTATATAGTGATATGCTGACAGGCTGTCTCGCAGATGACTTTGTCGTCTTCTCTGCGTGCAGTGTGGAGGTCGCTGGTTACAAGAGGCACTGGTTTGTACATAAAGACACCTGGGTTGTTTTGTATCTCTTTTCCTGTTGGCTGTATTAACGCTTGCTGAGGTCATCTGTGATCAGGGAGGTAACAAGCGGCAACCCCTGACCCCCAAACCATCCCCTCCACCGCTTTCTGTGTCTTTCTTGTTCAGTTACCAAAACAGCTGTAAGCCCATCTAAAACTAGGTGCGTGGACATTGTGCTAGGGTAGTTTCAGTGTGTCAACTTTATGAATTGAAATATAAACCAGTAAAATTGTATTACTATTTCTTTTGTTGGCTTTATTTTAACGGCATATTCATTAAATATTTTGGTACAAACAGCATTGCTTTGTAACAACCAGTTTGGTGTGCTCTTGCCTCCCTCCCACGGGCAGTCAGAGAAGACCACCCTCTGGGCTGGCAAATAGGTGTACTTGAGCACTGGGCAGCGCCTCCCCGTTCATCCATTCAGACACTTAATGAGCAGCTAATGTGCTCCAGGCCCATGGGGTGAGAGAAGACACAGGCTTTGTCCCCTGGGAGGCCTGTGCCTTCATCGTGAGCATTGCCTGTCTTGGAGAAATAAAGTGAGACATGACCTGTGTATTTGAGGGTTAGGGAAGTCTTATAGGAGGTAAGGGTGTGTGTGGTAAGACCTTGAAAGACAAAAGCATCTCACCAGGCAGAGATGGGAGAGGGAATTGCAGGCCCAAAATGTGAATGTGCAGGGGAAATGGCTGAAGAGCAGAAAGGCCGAGTACCCGAGGTCCAGTTATGCTCTGCTGGAACTTTCAAGGGAAGTGGTGGCATGGCCAGCAGGTACCTCTTTCCGAGAGCTCCTTTCTGTTCCCTGCTGGTCATCCCACACCGCGGCACCATAGGAACGAGGCTCCCAGACCCTTGGCCGTCCTTTACCACCTCGCCCCCTTCTCTGCAGCAGGAAGAAGAGCAGTGCTTCCCCAACCCGACGGTCCCCTCCTTGCTTGACCTGCCCTCCAGGACCCCCTACACCCAGCCTTTGGATGGAAGCGGGCTGAGATGCAGGCCATGAAGAAGGGAAGGTGGTGAGTGAGCCCTGCCCCATCTTCTCTCCGCTGAACTGAATCAGGGCAGGTGCCTAGCAAGGGGCCCGGCCATGACAGATGCTCTGCAGAGACCAGGACAGGGACTCCGGAGCACAGTTGGGATCCCTTTGCCGCTCACAGACTAGAAGGCATATTTCTGGGATCCACGTTCCTGGCCAACAAGGGCCAGAGTCCAGATGGGCCAGCCTGCTCCGGGCTTTTCCAGTCCCCAGGGTCCCAGTGTTCCGGAGTGTAGGGATTCTGCAGAAATCCTCATCCCAGCAGCTGTGCCCTGCCAGGAGAAAGGCGCCCATAGCCAGTCAGCCTTGGCACACGGGGCCTAAAGTGACTCCGGGACATCCGGAGAGAAGCAAGCTCCGCCTCGGGAGAGGGCGGGACTGGACGAAGGCTCATGGGCTTGGTGACTGGGAATCTGCTGGCGCTCAGGAAGGAAGGAGAGCAGAGGTGGGTGGGGTGCAGCGGAGGGGCCAGACCCAAGTGGGTTGAGAGGCAGGAGGGTGGGAAGCAGAAGCAGGTGAGTGTAGATTTCAAGAAGCCTGCTCAGCCTGTCACGTATTTCTACGTGACAGGCTGAGTAGACCATCTAGCAGGCCCTGTTGAACCTGAGCGGATCTGCACGGCCTGGTCATGATCTCTCAGGAGGAAGGAGGCAGCTCAGAATGAAAGGCAAGAGGCATCTGCCGCCCTGTCTGTTCTGAACCCCAAGTCCCAGGGGCAGGAGTGAACCACGAGAGGAGTGAAGGAAAGAGAACTCCATGGGAGCTAATAAAACTTAGTCCAGAACACCGCTCTCAGCTCTGAACTGACCCAGCAGTTGTGAAAACCAAGACATCTATGCAGGGGGAGTAGGTAGGTGACAAGAGAGGAGAGTCATTTGGCCTCTCAGAGCCTGTTTCTTCATCTGGCTGATGGGGGTTTAAAAGGCTGTCTGTAGTGCTTCACTTGCTCAGAGAGATGCCTGATTCTGACCTTGGGATGCAGATCTTCTCCTAAGCTTCATTTGGGGGCTGAGACAAGTGAGCTCAGAATGGCTGAGGTGCTCACTCCCAGAACAAGAGGACCGAGCACTCCGTTTCCCTGCCCTTCCCCCACTTTTATAGGCGAAGAAATCGGGCCCATAGAGCGGTTCCTGGCCCAGACCACAAGGCTAGGACGTTAATCCCCATCTCTAACTAACTTCCAGTGACCAGCAGGGCAGCTGCTTTAAGATGACCACGTGGGCAGTAGGTGGGTGTAAACTCTCACAGCACTTCACTACAAGCAGCGTACCTGGGCCAAAAACCCTGAGTTCAAGGCTGGGCCGTGACCTTGGATGCTCACGTCACGTGGATAGGTCACTTCACCCTCCCAAGTTGTGTGTGTGCCGTGGCTTCGGTGCCCATCTCGGTCTCACACGGGTTGCTGAGCTACTGTTAAGCTCCTGACCCTTCCCCTGTGTTCTCCCTCCAGTTGTCGCAACACCCCTGTGAGTTAAGTGACGTTATCCCCAGATTTGAAAGTGAAGGTGAAAGGCCCGTGATGACGAGATCTGGGATGTCAATGCTTTGTACCAGGTACCACCACCTCCACCTTCTCTTCCAGGGCCCCAAAGCAAGGAAAACAGTGCTCCTCCCTCCACACCCCGTTTTCAACTCCTCTTGCTGTTCCCTGTGCCAGTCACGGGCCAGAGGGTGGGAGTGGGGCCCCTGGGAGGAAGCAGCAGCGGGCCGGCCTGGCTAGCTCTTCTTTCCATCAGTGCGCTGTGGTTGTAAAGCCCAGAGGACAGTGTGCAGAGCGAAGGCGGCCCTGAGTTACAACACACCCAGTGCCTTCGTCCACTTACCTGGAGGGCAGCGACAGGCCCGGCCTGGCTCCCTCCAAGACCCCCTGCGTGGGCCGCCTTTGTCCTTCTTCCTGGGGCGGGCAGAGACCTTACTGTAGTCTTGGAATTACTGGGGTCGGTCGACTGCAGGAACCTCACAGGGGGAGCAGTAGGAAGAGCTTTGGCTTTGTTTTCAAATTGCTGCTGCCATTTCGAAGTCCTACTCCCTCGGGCAAGTCCCTTTATCTTTGAGCCTTAGTGTCCCGATGTGTAATATCTGCCAGCTCTGGGGACAGGGGTCAGGGGTCAGGACTAGGAGGAAGGCAGGTGTGTGAGGGGCACCCGGTGAACGCTGAGCTGAGCTGAGCTGAGGCGGCGGCACTCACACCACTCGCTGCACCAGGGGCCCGGGTCAAAGGTTCAGGTTGAGTAAACATTTGGCACCATTAGCAGAGAGAGATGGCAAACAGGAATAGGAATGAGGCCTGGCCCTCTGCATGAAGGGAAGATTCTTCCACATGTGCTGAGCTGGAGAGTCAGGGCCAGGAAAGGGGTTCTGCACTTGACCCTTTCATCAGTCAAAGCCAGAGTCAGTCCGTCCTGCACAGAACAGTGCAGCCCCTTGCTGTTGAAGACAGAAGCTTTTATTTTTATTCATCCAAATGGGGAAAATGCAACATGTCAGGGCATTACAGACAAGCTGCAGCAGCCAGACAAGAGGGTCAGTCTATGGCAGAGTCCAACACAGTCAGTGCGCAGGAGCCGCAGTGTGGGCGCTTCCTGTGGGAGTCGGGGTGCAGAGTCCCTTTGGGTGAAGGCCAGGCGTCTCTGGGTGAGGCACTGGTGACAGTCCACACGTGCAGGCTGCTGCTTCAACCACGCCGCAGGTTGAAAGTTCGGAGTCCTACGTGTAATCACTGCCCCAGAGAGGGAGGACAGTCCAGGGTGGTCGCGTTCTCCAATGTTATTTTTTTTAACATAATACACAACATGACGTTATTGCCAGGGACTCTGCACTGTAATTATACTATGTACACTTGTGTATCCAGAAAAAACAGTAAATAGATACAGATAGGTATTTTAAATAGATTTCTTAAAAACTACCTTGGCCATCACCAGACCAGAGAGAGAGCAAGCTGTATATAGCCAGGAGTCCGATGTCACGTGTGTAACTGTGCAGGAAACTGGGAAAGGTTTTCTACCCACAACTAAACGCAGCCTTCTCCTTGCCTCCTGAACCCCCATCCTGGGGCCAAGGAAGGGCTACGACTGAGCACGACCCCTTCCTCCTTTGTGAGGGAAGCCCCTTCTTGAACAGCTCAGGGCTTCAGGTCTAGACTGGCTGCCTCCTGTCTCCTTCCCAGACAGTGAGTTCTGCTCGGAATGGGTGAGAAGCGAGTCTCAGAGGCCGCTCTCCGGGAATCCTACGCGGCAGGGAGACCCGGGTGCCTGCACTGTGGGGCTTAACAGGCAGAGCCGGGCCCCAGGCCAGCCCCTTCCCTGGTCCTCCTGCCTCACTGTCCCTGGAAGTGCCCTGGCCCTGATTAGGGCTCCCTCAGGAGACCTGCCTTTTCCTGAAGGTGTGACTGGGCCCCAGCCAGCCACTTAGACCAGAGGTTCAGCACAACAGGCCAAGATGGTCCCTAGTCAGAGGCCTGAATGAGTTGACAGATACTTTGGGGAAAAGAGGATCCACACTGCTAAGAGCTGAAGTAAATGAAGTCTGCCCAACGCAGGTGGCTCATGACTCATTAGAAGACATCAAGAAGGACAGAAGCAGAGGAGGTGTCCCACCTTGACCAAGCATTCCCTTTGCCGCCTCAAGCCCCTGGGAAAGGAAGTCCGTGTGGAGGCTGGCGACAGCTCACAAGACACGCAGAGCCACCCGTGATTCCCGGGAGATGCGGAAATTAAGGCCCCTGGTCAGGAGCCCTGAGGATGCCTGTTGTCTGAGAAGCCACCACAGTAAGTGAACGAGGGGACAAGCGGTACTCAGTGTCCCCTCTGCAAAGTAGGGGTGCAGTGTGAACCCCACCTGACCGCACAGGGCTGGCCTGAGCAGGAGACACTGCCATGGTCAGGGAAAGGGACGCATCAAACACCAGCACTGCCAGCCTGGCAGGTGAGAGAAGAGGTGTTTCAGGAATCTGACTAAACCCCACACCGTGCCTCGTGTGGGCCATCATCACAGCCTGGGCGTCAGGGCCGCAGCCGAGGGAGCCACTGGGGGGGAAGAGTCGAGGAGGCTCACAGAGCGGCACGGACACGTCAAGGAAAGGAAAGGAGCGCCAGCTTAACCGCAGCTTAAGCCCGTCACGCCGGCGGAAGGGAGTGGGGGAAGAGGCTGGGCAAGGAAGGTGCTGCTTCCTTGATTAGGAACTACAAGTGGAGAAGACAGTCCTCTTAGCTATCTAAACTCCTACCCTTATCCATGGTTCATCTTCACGAACAAAAATTTTAAAAAGTCTTCCCAGAACAGCAGAAATATCTAGGTTAGAATCAAAAAAAGAACTTTCAGACCATCATCTGTTTCCCCAAGCAGGAAAGTGAGACAGATGGCATCTAGCTTATGGCCGTGGGCCAGGATGGCGCAGGGGCCAGGCTTGAGCTCCACGAGGGTCTAGGGTGCCCCAGACACAAGCCTCCCTGTGAGGCCAGAGCCGCAGCACAGGCTGAGCTGCCCGACGAAAGACCACAGCTGGCGGCACATCTGGCTGGGCCAGGCTTGCCTCTGTCTTTGCCGTTCCAGGACCCCAGAAACACCTCTGGAAGACCCGGGCTGTGCCCCTTAGAGATGGGAAGTTATGTGCCTGCTGCCATGCTGAGAGCACCGCCCCCGGAGCCTGAGGAGCCCCACGGCAGCAGCCCGCGTGCCCTGGAGCCGTGGCTTCTCCGCGACTCTTCCTTCCACGACCCTCTCCCGACCTCAGCAACGACCAGCTGTGCCCTCACTCAGAGCAGGCAGCAGCAGTGCCCTCAGGCAGCCCACCACCCACCTGCCTGAGGCCCTGCCCACGTCTGCCCAACGGCTCAGGGCAGCACCAAAGCCCTCACCTGCTGGCTCAGTCCCCAGGGGATCCACAGCCACACGAAGCTGGTCCACGGTGCGGCGCTGCCAGAGCCGTGCGGGGAGGCCCCCCGGGGTCAGCACCGCCACACGCCCCCGCCGTGGGGCCTCGGGCAAGCGCCTTCCCTCCTCGAGCTGCCCCTGATCCTCACCCACTCTTACGGGCCCGTGCGGGTTTCAAGGAAACGGCATCTGCGCAGCCTCTTCATGGGCTCGTGAAGCCAACACCCTCCAGGCTTCTGTCCACGTCAAGGGAGCGCTCTGGCAGCTCGTGCCCCTGGAACCTCACCTCACGGTGCTCAGTCAACAGAAGCTCCCTTCACCTGCCTAGAAACATCTCTGAGGGGAAATGCTGTGGAGAGTAGAAAGCACTATAGAGAGTCTCTTCCTCGCCCCAACTACACGGAGCACCTTGGGGCCGGCGCCGCGTCCGACCTGCAGTCTCCCCCAGCCCGACCTCAGTCCCGGCCTAGAGCGTCGGGATGTACCTGCACAGCACCTGCTCCGGCCTGGGCATCTTGCCCCGGTCTACAGGCACCAGCTCCATTCTGAAGTGAGGGGAAGCCCATCCCTAGCATTTTTCACCCTCATACACCAAGGCCCCAATCCAAAATTAAACATGAGACAGAAGAAGCCCGAAGGCAGCGGACCATGTCAAGCTCTGCCGTGTCAAAAACTGTGCCACTCACTGGCCCCCTACAGCCGGCGGCCAGGAAAGCTACTCAACTTGGGGGTCACTCCTTCCCACTCGGGTACCAACAGTAACTAGACTCTGGGCAAAAGAGACCAGATTAAACTGAAAGATACTACTTGTAACCACAGACGTGGTCTTCCCCAACCAGAGGATCTTTCCAAAGTGCATCTGTGATCACTTCACCTTCCTGAGCACAACCTCCCACTGGCTCCCCAGCGCCCTTTATTCACAGGCTGGGCCCCAGCCGTCCTCCTCTCCGGAGCTGCCTCCCTCCCTCCCTCCGGCTCTCCGGGTTCACCCTCAGCCTTCTCTCCCTGAGCCCCGTTCTGTATTTCGCTCTGCAGCACCCGCTGCCCCGAAAGGGCCCACCTCTCACTCAAAATCTGAGGTCCTTCTGGGCAAGAGCTGCACACCTAACAGATGCGCAGGAAGCCTTCGTGGGAAGACAGATGGGTCCAGGCAGCAGACGGGAGGAAGCTTCCAGTCATGATTGAGCCAGAGGGTGAGTAACCGCCACAGTCCAAGGCAGGGATTGGCGAAGTGTGGCCTGCAGCCACGCCTGTCTGTCTACCTTCTGCCTCTGGCTGCGTGGGTGCTGCTGGAACGGCAGAGCTCAGCAGCTGTGACAGAGCGAATGGGCCACAAGCCTGGAAGAGTTACTCCCTGGACCTTTCCAGAAAGTTTGTCGACACCAGGCCTAAGGCAGCGTTCCCATCAACTTCCACACGGTGACACGCAAAAAGGTGATTTTTCTGTGGCCCACTGGGCTAAACAAACAAGGCCGCTTGTAGTTAGAGACACCTGGTCACCCCAAAGGCCGATGCAATCAGTGTCTCAGTGAACCCTAAAGGCTCAAAACCACCACCGCCTTTTTAGCCCCCGTCCCCAACAGAGGTATAGAAACACAAGTGCAGAAACCTACCCCGACTCCTCCTCGGGTCTCCCTGCCCACCTGTGCAGAACGAGCCAGCGGTGGCAGGACAGACACAAAACTGAGGCCCAAAGCAAATTCTCTAGTAATCTTACAATTGCGCCTTTTTCCCTTCCCTGTAGCACTCTGTGGAGCAAGTGCGTACCTTCCCCCGGCTAAAGACCCTGCTCCACAAATGCTGAATCCAATGAACTCCAGCCCTTGCCCAGGTAAAGAAGCCAAAACATTACTTTTTTTAAAAGCAGAAGCCTCTGTACCAACGAATATCCAGTACCTGCCACTCCCTTTGACTGGCAAACTCAGCAGAGCAGAAATGCAGGGAAAGGGTAAGATTCTGACTGACCGGCCCATAAACCTCTCTGTCCTTTGCCAAAGGAGACGCTTCCCAGAGAGCACACGAAGGGGGCTCAGAGCCCCCGCACCCACGAGAAAGTCAGGCCCACCGAATCCCCGCTTCCTGGCCAATGGAGATGGCCCTTGCTACACTGCAACGCCTCTCCCCGCCACCACCCCCCTTTCCTGTCTTGGTCCCAGGCACCTACTGAACAGTGGCCCCCAGTTCCCTGGCTGCACGTGGGGTTCCTGTGGTTCCCTGGCCCCATAACCTCCTGCTGGGCCCAGGCAAGAAGCCTGGACTATGAAGAGATGCCATTCCTGCCTCTGACGCCCTCAGCCAGCCTCCTTCATCCGGGCACCTGCAACAGCTTCTGACTCCTTCCTTCGGTCCTTCCCCATCCAGCTGTCCAAACCGATCCTCCAGAATTCTCTCACCGTTCTGGAAGATGTAAGCCCTCCAAGGCCTTTCACGAAGTGGCCCCGAACTACACATGCCATCTGCTACTTCACCCTCCTAACCATCCCAGTTCCCAGGTTCCCATTAACAAGCACCTCCACGCTGTCCTGAGAAGCTGTGCCTTTCTGCGCACACCAGACGCCCCTCCTTGAGACCTCCCAGCCAGCTGGATGCCAGGCTCTGCGGAAGCCATGGCCACATCTGCTGGAGCCCCTCTCACTCTCTAAGTCACGCAGCTCTTAAGTCTCTTCGCAGGCCTGGCTCTGCTCCTGGACTGAGTGGGAGCCCTTCTCCCAAGCACAGAAGATGGCTCTTGTTCTGCTCAAGGCCCCGAGCAGTCCCCTCCCGCTTCCTGGGCTCCTTCTTGGTCAGGGGTTTCACCTTCTAAGCTGAAAATCCTGACGTTTTCCTCAAGTGCTCCTCCCCCAGCACAGCCTGGTTAGTAGTAGGAGGTGACAGTGAATGTTTCCAATAAATCCATGTGCCCAAGAGGGGAGAAGCGGTCTTGACAGTGTCACCAACCACATCAGCATTCTGTGCAAACTGACACCCCATAGAAGACCTTCCTCTGCAGTATGCAAACAGCTGGCTTCCTGCCTAAGCACTCCTGGTAACATGCGGCCCACTTCTCACCACACCTCATGGGAGGCACACTTTAGCTCAAACTGCCCAACTGGCTTTACCGTAACTATCTTTCCCCTTCTAGAACCACATACGACAAGTAAATACAACCCTTTAAAACAGCTGATGGAGGGCTTCCCTGGTGGCACGGTCGTTGAGAGTCCGCCTGCCGATGCAGGGGACACGGGTTCGTGCCCCGGTCTGGGAAGATCTCACATGCCGCGGAGCGGCTGGGCCCGTGAGCCATGGCCGCTGAGCCTGCACGTCCGGAGCCTGTGCTCCGCAACTGGAGAGGCCACAACAGTGAGAGGCCCGCGTACCGCAAAAAAAAAAAACAAAAAAAACCCCAAAAGAACAGCTGATGGAAAGGTCCATGATCTCTCCAGGTCTGTCCTTCAGCAGCCTTAACCTATCCCATCTTGAGGTGCTTTCAGCTTTCCTGAGTTCCTCAGGTGCCACCTTCCAGATGATGTGGAAGGAGTGATCCCCTCCAGGATGATGGCCACCATACCTCCCATAATACAGCCTCCAACCTTGCCTGAAGGACGTCAGAGAGCTGAGCATCTTCTGAGACCGTCTACATCGTGGAAGGGCCCAGTGAGACCCTGGCACCAGCGCTCCGGGAAGGCAACTGTGAGGGCGACCCCTTTAGTTGGAGCACACAAGGAAGGCCTAGCCAGAAACATGACAGCTGACAACCAAAACGTGGATGAAGCTCAGCGGAAACAGCACATCCCTTCCCTCCATACAACGCCTGGGGATCTCTCCGATGGCAGTTACTGGTTTGCATTTTATTACAGGGTTCAGTTACAGCACAAAAAGATGGTCTGTGGAAACAGACCCAACTGTGCAGCTGGCAAAGAAAACAACAAACAGGCCACCTGGCCCAAGGCTGGCCAGTCGGTAACCTTGCCCAGGAGCCAGGTTAGCGGGAGAAGGATGAGCCCGAAGTCTGGTTTCTTTTTTCCCACGGGGGGAGGGGGTGGCTTTCTGCGTGTTTTGTCTCAAACCACACAGGACACATCCCAGAAGTCTGGAAGAAAGGTAAGTAGAACGAATGCCTCGTAAAGAGGAGAGGAAACTTGCCAGACAGTTTTAGGAAACAGGATAGCAGCAGCCTAGACTGTCAACACCAACCAGCAGTGGTGAGCACAGCGCCAGCAGGAGGGGTGGGCTCAGCCACGGACTAGCTGTGTAATTTTGGGCAAGTCATCTTGTCTAAGCCTCTATTTCCTCATCTGTAAAAGGAGAAAATTTCTAGATCCCACAGTTGTGGAGGAGCTCAAATCTCATCCCTAAGAAAGGGCTTCTGTTAACTCTAAAAACAGGAGAAATGCCATTTCTCCTGTGTGATTAAAAACTCACTTATCAGGAGCCACAGTGTTTTACCACAAATAAGCTGGTGGTTTGCAGAGGCCTCTTGGCTTCAATTTTCTTGTCTGTGCAGTGGTAACAACCACCCCTGTGCTGCAGCTTCTCTGAGTGGGACCATCAGGGCAGGGAACACAGTCACGGCCCGGAGAGAGCTCTGCTGGCACGCTACACACGCAGGTGCCATTCCCTCCGCAAGCCGCGGCTCAAGAACTCCTACAACCTGGGTTTACAAGAGGTTCCTTCTTCCTGTTCCGCCCCAGGATTCTGGCAGGTGGCTCAGAAAAACGGCAACTGCCAAGGCTGGTGGTGACGTGGGTTAGGGAAGAAGATCTTTCCCTGAAGAGGATTCTGCATCCACCTCCACAGCCACCTAACCCTAAGCAGAGACCCAGCCAGCCCCAGTCTGCCGAGGAGCTGGTGAGGGGACCCCAGCCTTCCGTGAAGCCGAGTCCAGGGGACACTCCTGGCAAGCAGAACAGGCCACTGCAATCTGCCCCTCACCCCCATCTCTGCGCAGCACTTGCCCAGGGCCATCTCTCTGCACTCACACCCCAACCCTGGGCCACCCCTCTTCCTTTGACCCAATGAGCCCAGCCTCACCAGCTCTCCTTCAGAGTTTGGCTCAAATCTTTTAAGACATCCCCATCGCCAATCTCAGGCCAGATAGCGTGTACTCAGAAAGCATTAGCTAAATGAAAACGCACACCTCAATTTCTCATTGATATTCAAACAGAAAAACAAGCTTCAAATGCAAAAGCTTCCTCTGTTTATACAGCCACACCTCAGCCCTCCAGTCTATCTTTCCAGTTTGTTAATCTTTTCCAACGGCTCTAAAAGAAAACAGCCCTATTTTAGGCCAGGATATCTGGTCTAAAATGACCTCAAGCCAAGCCTAGATTCTAGCACGGGAGCCTGGGATGGGTTTGAGTCGGTGAGCTCCAAAGATCCTGCGACAGTGAGGCCCCTGGCTTGTGTTCAGGCCCTTTTTAGGCTCCATTCGGCCTTGCCTCACTGCCCACACACCACCTTCCTGTCCCCCGATGTGCTTCCTCACCTTCTTTCCAGACTTCTAATCCATAGCTGGTACAGCAGAAAAAGGCTCTGGCACTGGACAGAGCTGGATTTCATTCTTGACTCTAGCACTTAACTCTGAGCCTCAGTTTTTTCATCTGTAAAATAAGAATAATACCACCTTCAAAAAGGCTGAGAAATAAGAAAAACGTCCAAGTGCCTGGCACACACAAGGTACCAATTTTAGCATCTTTCTTCCCGCTCTCCTTTCTTCCATCCACTGCTGCCCACAGCCCAAAATGACCTAAACTGAAGGCCACTGTTAGCTACCTGGGACATTCAGCTGACATGTGAATGCAGAGACTGTTCTTCCAAACCACACAAAAGGATCAAGGTAGAAGAAACTGCAACAAAGCAGAGAGAGACTAGGCTCCTAGGCAGCGCAAAGAGAATGCCCTCACTGCAGCAGGCTAATCCCGTTACCTCCTGGGGGCCGTAAGCAGCAAAAATGACTCAGGACCGCATCTCCAGCGAGGATATGCTAATCTGACTCTTAAACTGCCTGGGCAGATGGTGGCAGTCTCCACACTACCCACCAGCAGAGACAGCATAGTTTGCAGAAATAGCAAAGTTCTGCCAAGAAAGACCCTAAGACCCTCCTTAGAAGGACCAGGTAATTAAGGTGTTAACAACTGACTGATCAAGGCAAAACAAACAAAAGAACCCTCGATCGTTACTGAGGCAAGAATTCCACCCAGATGGCTACAGCTGAGGAATGGGGTCACGTCTGCCAGGACATCACTGACACACATATATCCTGGATTGAAGAAGCGCCTCTTGACTATAATGCAACTCTACCTTATTTGCCTTTAAAAGTAACACTCAGTCCTGTCTACACAGTTTTTATAACCTTAGAGCATCACAGAACTCGATCTGTATTCCCCACTCAGCTCACCTCTACCAGCAGAGAGGAATGCGGCCGCACACTTTTCTCCAGAGGTTCCGGAGGTCCACGTAGACACGTGCGAGCCAGAGACAGACAGGAAGATGCTCACCCTTTATTCAGACCAACCATCTCCTCATTTTTCTTTTTGCTGAAAAGCAACTTCCCAACTGTGTCCAGATAGATAAATGGGTATATGGACAGAGAGAGGGATGGATAGACAGGTATGTTTTTTTCTAAGATTAACAGGCAAGAGGGAGGCCTCGAGTGGTGTTAACTACAGATTTTTTTTTTCCCAAGGTGTTGCAGCAAACTAGAAGAGAGAAGCATCCAAGTCAACAGCCTTCTAAGCATGCCACCCGGTCTCCTCTTTCTTTTCTGTGATTTATAGTAACTTGCGTTCTACCTGCCAAATAAATGGTGAGCTCTGAATGTCAGATTCTGGGGCTAGCTGTAATCAAACACACACTCTTTTCTTACTAATGCACTGGCAGGAAACTTAGAATCAGCAGGTTGATAAGCTCAGCCCCTTTGAAGTTCCAAGCACACCTAAATCCCAAAGCAAGTATTACGAACCCCTGGCAACAGACTGCCCGATGATTAACTACCACACAGAAACATGAGCATCTTCGTCCAGCACGGATCTGCAGCAGCCTCCCACACCAGGTCTCATCCAGTGTTTGCTTTGTACCTCCCGACTGACCCGAAGTTGCTGGAGTCCTCTCCCAAAGCCTGGAGTATCCCAAACCTGCCAACACTAAAGAACCCACGCCGCTCCCCCCGCCCCCCAGCAGGCCACGCACCTGCTTCTCCACTACAGGCCGGCACAGCGCAGCCTCCCACACGAATTTTGTCACCTCAGCCAACCACAGTAAGAACGGTCAGCATTTACTGAGCACTTACTCTGTACCAGGTCCTATTCAAAGCACTCTGTGTATTAACTCAGAATCTAATTCCTAGGCCCCACAAGAATTTGCTGGAGGGAGAGAAATGTACTCTGGCCCAGAGTCCCACATGGTTTCTAATCCCTATTTCTAGCTGTGCTATAAAGCTTACATAACCTAATTTGCATTATGCTGCTATTTTAAAAAAATCTCCAAAGATCACTGCTTCAAGCATCAATGGAAGCTGTTAGCTCTTACCTAAAATGATAATGTGGGAAAGGATATCTATTCTTACAACTAAGTCAACTTCAATTCTTGACTTAAAACAGACTTTCTGGAAGATGCTATTGGGAAAGGAAGGAACTTACATAAGAAGTACTAGCTCTGTGCTCTGTAAGTAACTGCTAGAGAGAAACACGTCAATATTGAACTCACCTCAGTGGTAGACAGCTTCCTGGCTCTGCAGGTTCACTTACCACCCATCTCCCTTCCCGGCCTCCTAGTAACACTGAGAAATCTCTGGTCAATGGATGGCATGGCCTCAGATGGTTTCAGAGTAGGAGTCTGAATACAACAGAACCTTTCTTGTTCTGGGTGACTTCAGAGGGACCACCCCCATCCCAGCACCACCAGGGAGGCACTGGCATACGCTGAATGGAAGTTGCAGGAAGACCACTCACAGAGCAGGCTGTCTTCAGCTTTAACTGCTCTCAATGTCCCTGATTTTTAGGGCTCTAGATTGCTAGAAATCTAACTGTTGGGGTTGGGGGAAAGGGGGCAGATCTCCTTAGTTCACTCCTGTAACTCACTACTGAAGATTTACCTCCAGTGCAGTTATTAATGAAACCCAAGAAACAGGGAAATGATAATGAATGATTGATTATAAGAGTAAAATTTCCCTCACTCGTCATCAAAAAATGTGGTCAGTGTTTAAATTAACCACTTTTGTTCTTTGCTACACTATAAAAACTAGTTTTAAAGGACTGGGCTCTTTGTTATTCATTTCATTCACTGCACTTATGTGGATAGAGGTCCATGAACATAAACCAGAGTTGGTTTTAGGCTCTCAAAACTGCCAGGGAAATTTAAAATGAGTGAATTTCCAAATGATGCCCATTTTCAGTGATGTCAGGGGGCCCATATTATTAAATAATTTATAAATAAACTATTAACTACGTAAATTATCTTCTGACACTGCTAATGCATTATTTGGCTCCCAACCTAGGATATTTACAATAGGCCCAATTCCACCAACAAGGAGACTCTCCGACTTAAAAGGTTTCCACTGGGCGGAGCCTGTTTTGCTAGAGAAGAACCTGTCCCGTAAGGGGCACTTGGCTGTTTGATCAGGACTGGAATGTACTTGGTACTAGTCAACTAGACCTCACTCAGCCTTTTATAGATGCCGAAGCCACATTCAATGTACATACAGATTCTGTATGGGAAAAAAGTTGTTCCAGCAACCTTCAAAGTTAGCAATAAAAAGAAAACTACTACTTAGAGACAAATATAAAACATAAACTTCATTTTAATCAATCTATCTATCTATATATATATATATATATCAAGTACAACCTTAGCACAGAACATCTAACACATATGAAATGCATTTATGGAATGAATACACGTAACGAAGAAGCAAATCCTTTTAAAAATATTTGGCCTAACCCTCACATCTTTTAAATGAACTCCATGACGGTTGAATCAGGTGGGAAATAAATCATCTATCTAATCTGGAAAAGAAAGATGAATTGCCTTACATCTATTTGGTCTCTGCACACCAGGTATTTACCATTCTGAGTCTTGCCATAATTGATTCTGCAAATACTTAGCTTAACTCAGTCAATTTTATATTTTTCCATAGTTACCTTAATAGTTTGGTTTTTTTCATTTGCTATTGCTTTTTTTTTTTTATGGCTTCTTGCTGCTGTTGTATTAGGGCATACAACACAGATCAGAGATACTCATTTCTCAGAGAAGTCTCTCTCCTTGAGAAATTGGCACTTGGATCCTCAGCTTATGTAACAGCTACATATAAATGGGTCCTACCGGCACTGTTACCAATCTTGCTGCTTATGAAATTCCAGCACTTTTTGCCCTGACGTAAAAATCTTCTTAGGTGAACACTTCCCACCACCAAATTCTTTTATTTAAACAGGTAAGTGTGTGTAATTCGCATATACGTTACAAGTTTCTATACACATACACACACTTAACTCAAAAGTGAAATGTCTCTCAAAGAGAAAGTAATTATAAGGGTATTAAAAACAAAATGCTGAAAATAACTATTTCACATTTAGATCATTAAAAATGTTAAAGTAATGTGATGAGATAAGACCTAAGAGATCAAATACATCATATATGATTGTCATATATGCATGTTGTGTTCATCGATTTTTAATTTTCTCTTTAATCAGAAAATAAAAGCGCTTACCTTTGTATACTGAGACCACAGCTTACAGTCACTATATCTCAGCCTATTTTATACAAGTGATATGGCTACGAAGGTCCAAGGAGAACGAGAATAAAGTGAGATAAACGTGCTGAAAACTGCTTAAAAGTATTAACCTGAAATACACAGAGGATCCAACACCAGTTTTAAAAATACATTAACGAGGTATTCCCAGCTCTTCAATTAATAATGGTGAATGACTGATTCATGATTTTCAAACATTCACCCAAATTTTAAAAAAGAAGAAAAGGCTAATACCAGCAAAATCTATCAGTGGTTTGTTCCCCAGGTTAACAATTTGAGAGAGACTACAAACGACTCCAGGAGCCCTGGCTTCCCCGCACCATGCACTGCATCTAGTCAGCATGAGGTATGTTGGGAATCTATTGGACCAATTACCTTGCACAAGAGATGGGGTGCTCCCACAGCCTCAAGAAACATGGCTGCAGGCCACCTCCCTGGCTGGGTGCCAGCCCCCATGCAAAGAATATGGCTTCAAGGAGGACCCCTATCTCTGAGGAATTATAATAGCGCTAACTGACGCAGTCAGGAATGCAACTATTCAGTTTATGTGCTAAAAAAGTTTAAAAACTGTCAGAAGATAGCACAGCTCATACACTAATTCTAAGTTCTACATTGGTTTGTAGACTCCCCGACGAGAGACTAGGCTAGGAGGGGCTAAGTATATCCAGATATTGCTAGGTTTCCAAAGGAAAAGTTTTCAAACAGACACCGTGGCTCTGAATAAAGTATTGCTCTTCTTTAAAATGCTCATTCACTGCTTTCCAAAAGGAGGTGTCAGAGTGCTGTGTCTGAAAGCTGGAAAGCCTCAGGGGGTCACATTGCTCTTAAGACTAAGACATAGAAATTGCCATTTCAAGCCAGACAACCTGATGGTTCTAGAAGTCAGAGAAGAAATCTTGAGGGCCCAAGTGAATAATAAATGGTGCGACGCTCAGAGGCTGGCAATAGGGGCTGTCAATGAAAAAACCACCTACAGTGGAGAAAAGAGCAGAGAAGCAAAACTTTATGTTAATTTCACAGAATTTGGTGAAGCCAAAAGCTTCATTTATATTTCTCTGCTCTTTCAGCTGTAAGTGGAATTTTCATTACAAAATGAAGGGGTGGGAAGGGTAAAGGGGGTGGGGGTAGGGGGAGGACACTTAATTCATTACAAGATTTAAACAGTTGAACTTGCATGGTTACCACTTCTAACAAAGGACTGACAGCTCAATTATTTTAAGTAAAGCAGAGAAATGTAAAAGTTTGCAGCAACTGGGCAGGTTTACAACATGGTTAGTAACTTCCAACAAACAACAACAAAAAAAAAAAAAAAAAAAAAGACTTGGTAGAAACCATTTGAAATGACTGCCATCATGTTGGAAAACAGCACAGCTCCATTTTCACCATTATAGAAGGGTTGAGTTATGAAGCTGAGTCAGCTACTTCAAAAGAATTTTCTAAAGAGAAATCTCCAAAGAGATTCCAACTTGGAATGCAAATTTGACAATCAATTTCAAATAACAATACAGCTGCAGCTGCCAATTAATAGTATTCCAAAAACAAAGAGGACTGTTTGTAAATATTTAATTAATAAAAAATGGACACTACCAGCCATGCTTTTTCTTCTCAGTGATGGCTCTGTTTCATCCATAGGTCAGCAAAACGAATCAATGAAACATGAAAACTCCCAGCTGAGATGGGCCCTCTTGTGTACGTCTAGCCACTAATGCACAGGATGAGAATGGTAAGTTCACAGCTACTTCCAGCAAGTGATGAGGTTTTATTAAAGTATCACCCACCACTAATAAAGACAAAAGGTCAAGGAGCAGCAGTAACAAGCATGGTGTAAAAATTTTATTTCTGATAAGTAACACTAACATTTGTTTTAAACGATCTGTTTCATTCTCATTTAGCGGTCCCAAAGAAATCTGGTACATAAATTTGCCGTATTTTGTGAAGCCCATTCTCAGCGACGGGTACTGTTCAGCTCCAAAAACCAGAAATGAAGAAAGACGAGGAAAGCTAATTCATACTAAAAACAGACATTTTTAAGACACAGAACTTGTAAATATCAACATGGGACCACACTGTTGCCTTCATGGGGGCGAGTACCTTAATAAAACCATTACCTTCTAGTAACATCATAGGCTTCCAAACAAGGTGAGAATGCAAGTGGAAGACTTAGGTCTGCACCCTTTACAGAACAACACAATGTTACCAACTGATCATTTTTCACCAGCTTAATCAGGTGTCTTAAAAAATAAATGCTGACCCATGGCTGAAACCTGTCACTTTTCACAGCAGCACTCAACAAGAACTGGGACAATCGAAGAGCAAGTTTTTATGGGGACCCTGTTGCTGCTTTAGATTCTGATGTAATTGAAGAGGATAAGAGACCCTTCAAAGAATCCCAGAAAAATCGCTAATCTTCTCTCTGCATGAAAAAAGCCAGGGAGTGAACACAGTATCTTACAGAGTGAAGAAGGCCACAAGAACAAGAGAGGGTGATTGATCAATTAATTTATTATTTTTTAAAACTTGGAAATTCGGAAACTAAAATAATCACATTCCTCCTTCCCCATCTCTGGGTAGTGCCATCATTTTAATAAGCAATGCTCAGATAACAGAGTAAACCTTTATCATGGGGATGCCCTCGTACAGCAGGAGTACAAAGGGCTTACAAAGTAAATAGACTGTGGCTCAAACTAACAATTGCCTTTGCTTTGTTTTATCAGTTTGGTTACAAATGAATGGGTTTCTAGGGCTAAGTTATTATTAGTTTTCAATTCTTTATAATTTGATACCAAAACATATCAAAAATAATAAGCTAAAACAATATTCAAACCCATATTTTATTGGCTTTAATTACACACTTCAATATTTACAAAGTTAAAGTTTAAATGAAAAGTCTCTATTGTATTAAAAAAAAATAACTACAGCCCGAATTAACGTGCCCTGGGGCAAATACATATCAATCAGCTAAGCATCAGTGACTGCATCAGGAACCAGGCAGTACTCTGTGTTACAACAAAGCAGTTTATTTGTGATCAGTGTTTGAGACTCTATACATCCTTCACGAATTTAATTTTACATAATCTGATACTCCTCTTAAAACTTAAACTTTGAACTGCTAGACTTATTTCCCTAGAACAGAAGGGCTGGTATAAGTTATTTTCCGGAAATGAGGTACCGTTTCACAGAACTAGTTTCTTTTTGTTTGTTTGTTTTCAAGTTTTAGAGAACTAAATTTGCGTTTGTTAAAATCAAAAAGTAGGAAAGATGTTCTTTACAAATAATTTTGATCAAGTATGTGTTCAAAGAAAGCAGGATAAAAAGGCTTTTTCTCTAACATTCTGTATGTACTGTATTGTTCAATAGGAATTAGCTTCTGTCATTTGCTAAAAGAATGAGTAGTGGGGAACAGGATATGTTGGGAATTTCATAACGGGTAACAGAACCATTCTCTTGGGTAAACCTACAGAGAAAAGAAACGGAGAGGACTCCAAATAAGTTTAATAATCCAATAAAAATTTCAGGTTAAAAAAAAAAAAGAATCTTACAGTAATTATCATTAACCTTTTCCAGATTAGTCAGTCAACATGTACCATTATGGAAGAGGCCCACAAACTTTGAAGTTACTCTTAATATTTTCCACTCAAAATTAAGATGGCTACATCATAGGAAGAAGGATATTCAAAAAGGGATTTCATCTGAGTGAACTGTCATGAATTATAAAGCTCAAAAGCAATGCTATTGATTAATATTCTGAAGTGACTCTCAATTTGGCACATCACATATTACAGGAGAAACAGGGACGGTCAAGATTCACAGCACAGCTTTCTGTGCAGGCCTCAGATCCCCAGAAAGACAGTTCCAACTGGAGCCGTGACCAGTTGTTTACCTTGGCTACTGCCAATATTGGCATGGCAAATCTGGAAAGATTAATTACTTGCTTAATTTTGTAATTAATGAGTTCTTGTGGCCTCACAAACTTCTGCATACTCAAGCATGATTTGAAATCTGATCCTTATTTCTATTCTAATATTTAAGCTCTGGAGAAATCACAAAGCAGCAACAGCAGGTACTCGAGGGCACCAGATGATCAGAGGGAAGTTACCCCACATGCAACAGCTTTACAAAGGCCAAAAGACATATTTACCTTACAGCCAAAAGAAAGCATCGTTTTAGTAGGTTGGCATCACAGTAACATTTAAAAACCAAATCTTTTATGTGAAAAATGGGGGCATTACATTTCACCAGCTTTGGAAGTCAGTTATATGGCGCATGGGAGCCTTCTGAAGGGGGGCTCAGAGGCCGTGGGGTGAGAGCATAATGTTAGAGAGGGAAGAACAAGAGAGAAAAACTAAAAAGACAGGAAAAACGTGAATGTGCCTTAGAGCCTAGATATACAAGTGTTTTAAAGAAAAAAATTAAGCTGTAGCAAACCTGTACTAAAGAACATGGGACTTACTATGTCTAAAAGAAAGACACGGACTTCAGGACCTGCCCTAGGAGGCAGACGCTTTGGCTCTCACACAAGACATATTACAATGAGTCTAGTGAGTCAAAATGTATTTGGATAAACTGACCAGACCTGATTCACAGGAAGGATGAGGTGGTCAGGGTATCCAGAAGTTGGCTGAATGGTAAAAGCAAATTGCCAAATCAAAAGGAGCTAGAGAGCCTGAATTCAGAAGGAACTCTAAGTGATAGCATATTCTTGGATGGGGAGGCCCTGGCCAATCCTGAATGTGTCAGTGGAGACATTCAGTTAAGGAAGAAACTCCAGACTCTGCTCTCAGCCTTAGAGGAAACTCACCCCAAACGTCTGAGCCTTCCAGCTTCTCCACATCTTTCTAGGATGTAAATTATCTATCTTAATGGGGAAAGCGGTCAAACTGTTCACTTTCTACTTATTTCTACAGCTAGGAAATCAGATGAAGCTTCAGTTTAGCAGTGTCTTAAAGACCCATAATTTTCATCCAAACAAAAATGGGAAAGCTGATGCATGAAGAGAAAAAGCATAATGGAAGGTCTGAGGCTCGTGTGGAGGACTAACGCCACAAGTAGCAACACAGTCCAGGGCCTTCTCTTCTGTGTGCACACACACCCAGCCTGGGGTCGCACTGCTGCACACACACGTGTGCACCCGCCCACTCTTACACTCACATGCATTCTCTCACATGTGTGCACACACACTCGCGCTCTTTTTTCTCTCAACGACAAACATCCTATAGATGGCCAACTCTATACCACACAGCACCCGAGTTAGGAAAAATGCCTAAGAGAGCATATCACTGACTCCAAACCTACTGCCTCCATTGCCACATAAACCTCATTCAAAAGTTATCCAAAGGGCCACTGAGGTTCATTTCCGCATCTGCCTTTGTTTTTTATTTTTGGAGGGAGAGGAGCTATTCCTATGATTTTCTCACTGTACTACACAGACCTTCTGCAGTAAGCACTTCAGTAACTGCTGCAGATACCCCCTCATCACCCTCTAGGACCTGTTCACTACACCTCTACAGAAAAATTCATGAAAAAGGATGACAGCTATGAATTTGAAGTGAGCACTTCCTATCTCTAACTCAAATCACCTAGAGTTCACAAACCAGAAACTTAAATGTAGCTCTATAACTGGCAGGCAGCCAGGCTAGAAACTGAGTATGGCCCTTCAGTAGCCTTTGAATGGAGTATAAGTTGGCTGTAAGAAGAACTACTTAAAATATTTAATTTCAATATGGTCAGAAACAGGCAATTAGAACAAGCAGTCCTTCAATCAGGCAAAGCAGAGAGAAGAGCAACTCCAACCAAACCAAGAACCACAAGGTTGTGGCATTTTCAACGGGAATTTAAGTTGGGTCACTAGAATAAGTAGGTCTGAGATCCTCCAATTCATTTAAAGAAACCCTAGATACAAACTGCGCTTTGGACTGCTGTGCAGAGTGGCTTAAGAGGAGAAATCAGTAAGACGGTGTACATACCATAGGCAGGGGCAGCTGTGCTGTAACCATATGGTGTTCCATAGCCTGGTGCAAAGAAGGAGAAAGCACATCAGTCCAGGAAAAAGGGCAGAGTCAGCGCCAGCCCGATTCACAAGGACCACCCGGCCCGGCGCCTTGGGCCCCAAGGGCTCCTTCCAGGTGCTGGCTCAACCAGAACCCTTCCCAGAATGGCCCGAGTCCACCGAGATTCCTCCATGCCTATGCAGAGTGGAAGCTTTTTACTACGGCCTACCAAGCTCTCCTGACCTACCAGAATATCCTGTTTCTTTCTCACTACACTTACCACATTGTATTATAATTATCAACCCTTTGTCTGTGTTCCCCCCTAGAATGGCAGAGACTCAAGTCTTATACATCTTTGCAACACTTGAACCTAGCAGAATGTCTGGCATATAGTAACCACTCACACATTTAATTTGTTCAACAAAAGAATACTTAGAACCACTCAAGTTACCAATTTCTCACAGTTGGAAAATAGGAATTTCCAAGTCTTTTTTTCAGAAAGCAGTGACAGAGCAGGCTAAAGCCTCAACTGCCACTGAAGAGGGCGCACAGATCAGGCTGTGGGCTCGAGGGCAAGGTCCATGTCTTGTTGAAATCCGAATTCTGGGCCCCAGCACAGGGTCTCTCAGTAAATGTTGTTAAAATTGCCATTAGCATCTGGTGCCTATGAAGAAGGCTCATATTATCAATAAAGTACAAAGAACACAAAAGTTTTTGAACCATTTAGTTCTGGCACTAGTTTCTCATATGTCCTTAGATATGTAACCTCTGAGTTGCCACTTTCATCTATAAAATGGGAAACCCTCCAAGCTACTTTATAGTTTTAAAGGGATTAGAAATACTATGTTAATAGAAATGACAATCTTTAATCTTTCAGTAAAATGACTTTAAAACATATAACTACTAAATCACTTGGGTAAATCTCTAGGAAAAACTGGTTTCTAAAATAGAACAAGGGCACAAAATCTACATGGGCCCTTCACATTGTACCCAAAACAAATCAAGCTTTTTTCCTTTACAGCCCCTTTTTCTATAATCATTTCTGCCGCTAGAATTTTTTTTTTCCTTCTTCTCTAGCTGACCAACTGCAACTCATCCTTTAGGTATCTATCACCTCCTCTGTAAAGTCCCCCAGGCTTGCCGTTCACTTTGCCCACCCCATGTCACAGCTTGCATCATATCACACGGTACTTTCTCAAGTGTCTGTTCCTACCCCATGTGACCCCGAGCATTCACAGGGGCAGACGCTAAGTGTTGGTCATCTTTGAATGCTCAGATCTAAATCTCTTGTTTGAGATAAAACATTCAAATATATGTTGAATAAGTAAATTGCTTTTGGGGACTAACTGAAACATTTTCTTAGAGATAAAGTTTTTCACTTTTTAGTCTATACTTAAGTCATATAAAACTGTGGGTTGTACAACTTAGTCTTTAGTGCTCACTAAATCATATATTTCAAGAGGACACAAGGCAGCTGAAATAAGCAGTAGGAAATATACAGTAGGAAAATTATCAGAAGCCAAAAAAAAAAAAAAAAAGATTAATGCTTAAAAAAGAAGGCTGTATATCAAATCTATTCCAGGAAAAGGTAGCTGGTTGGCTAAGGCTACAGTTTCAAACGTTTTACTAAAACCTCCTTAAAGAGATGAAACTATAACAACTAAGCTGGCCACTCATGAGGCCACTGGGGTTCTAATCCTGACTTCACATCTCACTAAGGTGACTCTGAATTGCACCTGCTATTTAACCTCTCTGAGCCTCAGTCTTCTGCAGAAACTGATGGCAGAGGAATGTAATTAAATAACATATGTAAAAATACTTACTACACTCCCTGCTGCACAAAATACACTCTGCAAATGGCATATAGCCTATTCATAATCCAAACTGACCTAATCTGAATCTTCTCTAGGCTATAAAAGAACTTCCTTTTTAAAAGCTTCAGAAGACAGGCCTTTCACAGAGGTCAGTGCAATGATGTAAGAGAGAAGCTACTACAGAGCAGAGAGGCAGACAGCAGGATTCCTCTCACAATCACTGCCACTAGCTGATGGCTGCTGACCCCTCGGGCGTGAGGGAAACGTCCCATGGCCCAGCAGCTGGACAAAACTGGACGAGCACGTCACCAAAGGCAAGAGAGTTCACCTCAGTAACCTGCCTACTACTGTTTAATGAAAGCTGCTTCCTTTAAATAAGACATGAAATGAGGCAAAAATAAATAAATAAATAAATTTCCATAGAAATAGTGAGATGCACAGAAAAATGTCTTAATTTTGGACACACAAAAAATACCAAACTGTAACCACCCTCTTACACTGTCTTTCAGCACTCTCTGTCTCCTTCAATGGTGCCGCCATCCAACCTACTTCCTCCAGCATAAGATCCTGGGAGGGACCTGAAACCTCACTCTGTTTCGTTCTCCACATTCAATCCATCAATTCTGCTTCTGAAGTTCTTCCATCTGCTCACTTCATGACCCCCATCTACTTCCCTACACTCCCTGGAGATCCCTCCAAGGGCTCTAGTCTAGTCTCTGAGCTTACAAAAACCTTCTACTTTGTCTTGGCATGCCGACTTCTATCCTTACAAGCCATTCTTCATGCTACAGAGAGTGATCTTTACAAATAAAGTCTGAAAGTCTTATCTCCTTACTCCTCTTAGAACCCTTCACGACGTCCCCCGTACTTAGGTGCTAAGACCAAAATCCAAACCACAGCCTCCAGGACAGGACTGAGCACCCACTTTAGCCCAAATTCCCCCCACCCCCTCCCCCTTCACCCACACCCAGTGCTCTCCACACTACAGACATGTTGGCCTCCTCCTAATTCTTCAAATGAGCCAAGTTCCCTCCTACCAGCACCATAGGGTGCGGATGTGCTATTCCCTCTGTGTGAGGTGTTCTTCTGTCCCAATCTTCTCTGAGTTAACCCCTACTCATTCTTCAAAGCTCAGTTCAAGTGTCACATCTTCAGGGAAACCTTTGAGTCCCCGACAGACTAGACCAGGTTTCTCTGTCACGTTCCCTCACAGCATCGTGCCCCTCTCCTTCATCACAGCAACTCAGTCAGTTGTGAGTATTCCATTAGTATGTCTCACCTTTAGACCAAACACTGCAGGAGAACAAAATCCATGTCTGCTGTGTGTCAAAGCAGGCACACAATATTTGAATAAGAGTACACATTGTTTATATGACACATCTTTGAGCTATGCCCCTACTGGGATCAACTTCTAGAAGCTTAATTCCAAAGCCACATCATCCACAGAACTTCCCAAAAAGCCTATTCTAAGTTTTTCTTAGAAAAAAAAAAAAAAAAAACAACCTAAGTGAACTTCTTAAGAGTGTTATGCAAAAAAATAATGACAGGATAAGACCCAATCTTTATGACCATTTCATCTTGATCAACAACTACTAGTGGTTTAGTTGTCAAGTTCAAAGTTCCATACTTGCAATATTACAGAGAATTTGATTTTCATGAGACAGAGGTACAGCTACTGCTGAGATGATACAAGGATCAGAAGAGAAGGCAAGCAGAGCGCATCTTTTCCCATCTTCCTCAAGCCATGTGGTGAAATGGAAAGAATATAAACTTTGGAATTAGAAACACTGACATTCAAATCTTTGCTCTGCTGTTTACAAGACGTCTCACACTGAGCTAGTTGCCTTACCTCCCTAAAACTTAGTTTCCTCACCCAGAAAAATGGAAAATATTTCTACTTGAGGAAACACTGTGAAGATTAAAAACAATTAAGTGAAATCATTTATATGAAAGTATCTAGTGTATACTCAGCTCTAGATAAGTAAGTTCCCCCTTTCCTCTTTTTGTACTTCTTTAGCCCCTGATGGTTCCCCAACATAGAGTTAAAGAAATGCTAACATCGCCAGGCTTCACCCCAATTAAGTAGCTCTTACCAGCCATTTTTCTCACCTGTGATACCCAATCTGTCATCTATGTCCCCACCGAATACACTCTGCTCAGGTATCCAAACTCCCAATCTGTGGCATATCTTTGAGCTCATATCTCATTGTCAAAATATGTCCCCTCAACCAAGCGCAATACTCCTCATCTGTCACCTCCCTCCAGAAAGCCTCTAGTCACTCAGCAGATTCCAGGAGAAAACCTGTAACATTCTGTAGATTCTCTTCTTTTGAAATTCGGTGCACACCCATCCTATACCCATATTATGTTTCCAGAAACCCTGTATAACCCTGGAAAATAAAGGAGAAGCTGTTCTTGGAACTCTGGCCCAGAAAAGGAGGCAGATGTCTCCCAGGGTGCACTGTACCTGGAGCTATGTAGCCAGGAGCAGCTGTGGCCCCAACAAAAGCTCCCCTTGTTAGAGTTCCTCTTCCTCTGCCCCGAACAGCTTGGACTGCTGCGGACACAGCTGTATTCACAACACCCTTTGCCTGTTAAAAACAACACATTTCATTACTGAGAGAAATAAGATCATCTCATCAACTTTGTAATGTATAACCTCCATGAGAAACTTGAGCCTGTACATGAGATTAGTCGTCTATGACCTTGAACCTTCAGTTTATAATCTGTAAAATGAAAATGACATCTATCTTACAGAGTTGTTCTGGAGAAGAGCTGGCACACAGAAGTATGCAAATAAATTCTTCCTTTCACTTGAGGGTTACCCAGAAAGAGTTCGTTTTCTGCACACAAATTTCAGCAGTCAAATTACATCCAAAGTCATTTTAGGCCTGACTAAAGCAATTACAGACACTTGATACCTAGGTTCAAAATTTACTGAATTCTCCCCCAGCAAACAAAAAAATAGCACAACAAACCACCTGGAGTTAGCTGTGAACCTGAATGGGGTTTAAAAAAAAAAAAAAAAAAAGGAACTAAGACAGGAAGACCAAAGGTGTGGATGCCACTTCCTGATGTAAGTAACTGAGACCTCAGGAAGGTCATGCAATTCTGTGTGTATGTGTGTGTGTCTGTGTGTGTGTGTGTGTGTGTGTGAATCACCTCTGAAGTCTCTTCTTGCCCTAAAATGCTATGGGACTCTGGTAAAGTCACATAATCTCTATGGGAGTCTCCCCAATAATTGCAAAATGACAATTATGATACCCATTTTGTTTTCCTTACTTCAGAGTAGAAAGAGCAACTGAGAAAATAGATACAAAGCTCTGAAAAGTAGAACAGATAAGGACAAAGAGTAACGGTACACAGGGCTGCTAGAACATTCTTTTCCAAAACTGAAAATTTAAGAAATAAGAAAATATCTAGTTTTAAATTACATATTATATTTACTTTTTAATATAAAGATGCTATAAAAACTCAAGCTCATAAAACTGCTAATACTCCCTGCTATAACCAAGCTGCAGGGAAGGAGGTGCAGAGCCTCAAAGGCATTGTACGATCAAGTCAACAGCATCTCAGACAGCTTAAATAGTCAGTGCATATACACATTTATCTCTCACTGAAAGAATCCTAGGATAGCCTCTGTAACTGGGTAGAAGACAGTTTCAAGGTCAAATGTATCGTGCACAGAGAACAGCCATTTTTTCCTTTTGGCTGAAAAAAATCCAACCAAAATAGACTGCTTCTTGGCTGTCAAGCACATTGAACATGTGAGTTCTATAGCTTTTAGTATGGAAAATTTCTAAAAATGAGTGAACTTCATGCGGGCATTTTTTTTTAAAACACAGCTTAGTCAAATGCAGTCAGAAAGTAGTAGTCTGGCAGCAGCAGAGTGACTCCACACAAAGCAAGCTCATGTCTCCTAGAACCAAACCTAACTACCTAGTAAGTATCTGCACATAGCACAGGCTTTTTTAAACACTAAAATTAACTGACCCATATACAAGATGTAACGCATGAGAAAAACACACCAAAACAAACAAGGTAACAATTATCCTTCCACTAATTTAGAACATATTCTAGGAAGATTTTAAAAAAAGAAAATCCACTTATCCTCTCTCTACATGTGTACCACTGCAATTTAAACGCTTTATTTGTATTTCATCTCAGTAAAAGTTCGTTTTCTTTGTTTATATTTTGAAGTCTAGAATATAAGCAGTGTTTATTATAGTAAATACAAGAAGTTTAAATTAACACAAATTTCTAAGGTGGATATAATATACAATAGGAGCATGCCAATGGTCTTTGGAAGATGAAGAACCAGGTTTCAAAGGGAACCCTTACCATCAATTAGCTATGTTACTACAAGCGGTATCTTAATGTGCTCAAGCCTCATTTCCTCATCTATAAAATGAGAGCTATTCTAACCTCTTATAATGGACTTTGCATATGCATATTTAACACAGAATCTTAAATAATCTAAGCTTCCTTCTATTAGTCTAAACATTTTTACTTGACTTGTTCCTATCACATAATATATTCAGACATTATTATACCAGTATTCTCCACGAGGGAGAGAATGTGTCTTATAGTTAACGTATCTCCTTTTCCCTCACAATCGTGCACATGGTATATGTCTAGAAAATATTTTTGAATACATAAATGAATGGATAGAAGAATCTGTTATTCAAAAGCGTGCAATTAGGAGGCCATCTTTTCTTACTGCAACCCTTGTTACAATCCTGGGCCTTTAGCAGCTCTGACATTTCCAATGTCAGTAATGAACAGAAGCAACAAAGGGTCAAGTTCTACTGTGACGCCCTCAAAGGAAAACCCAAAATAAATAATGCAAAAGGACAAAACTGGAAAGGAAATGGAAGAGCACCTGCAGACTCTGATGAGAGTAAGCCCCAAATACTCTTGGCAGCTTCCCTAAACTAAACAAATGCTAGTATCTCATTAAAGTCCCAACCCTCCAACACTCTACCTCTTCAAGAATGACCTAAATCCCCCAAATAATGCTAATAGTCTCTATTTAATAATTTGCCTAAAAGACCACAGAACAGAGAACCACTAATCATATTTCTATTATTCATGATCAAACCCAAAGCAAGGGTTGCCAAATCCAAGAAAAAGAAGTAACTTTAGAAAAACCTGAAGTGCCACAAAGACAGGAAAGGAAATTTAATTCTGGTAATATCTTTCAAAGGTTTAATGCTTAACTCATACCTGAGGGATAATCTTCTTTTTCTTATTATTTGCTGCATTGGGTCCAGAAAACAGCTTCTCCAGGGCAGCTAAAGCTGCACTTGCCTTTGCCACTTTCTTATTTGGACCTGCACCTCTGAATTTCTGTCCATCTACTTCTACCTAAAATCAAGAACAACACTCTGCAATTATCCCATGCAATTCCTCTACGTAGTTTTAATTTAAAAGTGTCACAACACAGAAAACACCAAAAGTCAAACAGCACCATGAGATTTGACTCAGTCTAAAGCTTTTTTATATATAAGCTGAGGATATCCTATGTCTTTGAGGGGAAAAATAAGGTTGGCTTGTATCTAGGTACACACCTCCATTACAAAGCGTTTGTCATGGCTTCCACCAGTCTCCGAGATGAGTTCATACTTAAGACCTCTTCTTTTTTCATTGAGCTCCATTACAGGATTTTTGCCACTTGCTGTGAGGATAGGGCCCTGAGTTCTTACCTAAAAGGAGGTTCAATCAAGTAAGATTTTAGAGTATTAGATTTCTTATTAATACAATTATACTACGTCTCCGTTGACAAAGAGGCTCAAGAATTGTACTTTAAAGCATTCAGGGGCTAGGATGCATGATCACTTCTGTATACAAATGGTAAAATATCTTTAAAGGTATAGAAATTCTACAAGCAGTAAACATCACAGTAAGTCATCTGGCCAGCCTGCCATGGAAGCAGGCTGTCTCAACAGATCAGTATTCAAGAGCAGTGTAGCCTTGCCATCACATGGCACTCCAGGGTCTGATCTGGGGTGTTCAAGATCTAAGAACAATACTCTAAATGACTGACAATGTAGGTAGAACAGTTGAGACTCACATGGCACCTGAGCATTCATTGTTTTTCATCTTTAGGATTAGGAAGAAATAACTCTCAATTTGGGAGACGGAAACAAAATGTGCCTACACACCTCTCAGTCTCTCTAAAGAGATTTAACGGCACCTAGAGTAAAAACAGTAGGCTACAGACCATGAATTCTGAAATTTAAAAATAATAAAAGCAGTCATTCTCGGCCCTCAAGGAGCTAGAGTACAGAAGGAGGGATTGATCTAATCATTGTAAAACAATGTACATTATAGAGCCCATGTATATTATGGAAACATAGTACAAGGAATCATTTTCTAGGGCAAACAGGATAGTTTTCCTGGAAGTGACATGCAAACCTGACCTTAAAAGGTAGGTACCAGACCATGAGAAGGAGGAAACGAAGGAGAAGGGCATTCTGGACAGAAGAAACAGCCATGCAAAGGCCCAAGAAAAAGAAAGACCATTTGTTTGGGAAATGGCAAGAAGTTCCATTTGGCTGTATTAAGCGAGTGAGGAGAGGAAAGCAGAACCAGATTAGAAACACTCTTGATGGAGCCAAATCATAAAGGACTTCAAATGTCATGCAAATGAGCTTCGACTTTATCATGGACAATAGGGAGCCACTGAAAGACTTAAATCTGGGTAAATTCACGATTAGACTAGAAAACTGCTCTAGGAGTGGTGGAAAGAACTGACATAACGATAAGACTAGAGGTGAGGAAGAGAAGTAATTCACGTAAGAGTGTGAAGGCTCAAACAGAGAGGCTAGCACCAAAAATAAAACCAACCACAAAACACCACAAAATTTTAGAAAGACCCAACGACTGAGCACTTTTTGAGGTTAGAGAGCATGTCTGTAATTCTATCCCAGTAATTGCTCAAGAAATGCTGAACAAAAATGAATTATTACATATAATAGGATTTTCATGTATGTAAACCTAATGGACAGCAAGATTCTCTTAACATACTCTACACTGATTTAATAAGTGGTTGATGCTATAAAAGTGAAACACTGGACAATTTTTAAAGACAATTTTAATAAACATTCCTGGGTCTTTTGCAATAAACCACTTCTTGAAGAGTTTTTAATAATCTACATCTTTTTAATTTCAAGGCAAATTTCTGGAGTCCATCTTTAAAAGGTAATGAGTAACTTCTGAAACTATGGTAATCACTCCCTGCTTTCCAAATCTGAAATCACTTTATAAAAATGAGTCAAGATAAAAATATTTGCGGTTCTAATCAATTATTACTATTTTAATGAAGAATAAGAGCTTTCTCCCCTCCCCATTACTAGATTATACAGAAGCAAAGCAGAGATGGATTCACAACCAGAACCTCCACATACTCTCGTAACTGCTATTAGTTTAGCCCACGCTGCTCTCTTAATTCCCTTTGAACTTAACAGTCTGTACCTCATAATTAATGCGCTCTTTCTCTCTTACTATTTACAACACTGCCAGCAAACCATCTTGGCCTGCCTGTGACAACCACTTATGAATGACTGGTCCTCTCTAAAGCCAGGGCCATGTCTTCTATCCTCCACAGCATCACATGAGGAGTCAGGCATGGCTTCCACAGGCCTCAGCCCCATCAGTCCCCACCATACAGGCCTACCTGGTACTTCTCAAACATTTACTTTCACAACTCCAGATATTATACCTTCTATTCCTTGGCCCAGAATGCCTTCTTTCCACCTCTTCCCCACATAGCAAAATCCTACTCATCATCTCAAACCAAGCTCACAGTTTACTCCCTTTGATTTTACATGTGTGTACATTTCATAATCACATCCTCCTTTGAGATTATACATTGTTAAATTCATTTTGCAATCACGGTGCTTATCACATTACATTGTAATTATGAGCGTATCTTTTGCCCTTCTATCCTGAGAACATCTTAAGGCTCTGGACACAATTTCTGCAGCATCTAGCAGTAAGCAGGTACTAAAAGGGGAAAAAATTATAGTCCACTAAGTCCTTGATAGATACTCATTCTTACAAATGACATTTTTTTAAATTTAATGTAAGCTCCTGCAGTTATTTAAAGCCAATTTTTCTTATGTAGAATGTAATAAGCAAGGGCCCCATGAATTCCCAAATAAGCCGTGTATACTCAGTACTTGGATTTTTGTCTCGTTCTATTATCTCTGACAATACGTCATAGGTCAGGACCTGCTCAAGAGTCTGAGGAACATACTAAATCAGACGCCCTCTTTAGGGCTGGACCAACTCAATGATGACCCCACTGACCCCCATAGCTTAGCACAAATTTCGAATAATTCTAAATTTCCCCATTAGATTTTTTTTTAAGTTTGCAAACATACATGCATACACATATTCATTCATTCATTTATAGCACAGCAGCTTGTGGGATCTTAGTTCCCCGACCAGGGATGGAACCGGGGCCCCCTGCAGTGGAAGCATGGGGTCCTAACCACTGGACCGCCAGGGAAGTCCCTAGATCTTTTTGTTTTTCACTCTTCAGTTATTGTTGACATTCCTGATACCTTATGATTGGATACATTATGACATTCCTGATACATTATGATTGAAATGCTGGAAGCAACTCCCATGGCCAGCAAAGGAGAAATGCTAGTTAAATTAGGATACATCCATGTGTTGTACAGTATACAGTTATGTTTACAGCGATTTTTAAAGTTAAGTGAAAAAACAAGATGTAAAACTATATGAAAATATGACTGCCTTCATAAAAAATACACATAGAAAAAAGGCTGGATATAAATAAAGCAAAATATTAATAATGACTGCCTCTGGAATACATACACTTGTATATGCTTTTGATTGTCTCATTTATACTTCTCCATACCTCTCAAATTTTTGACAATGAACATACATTACTTTTTTTCCAAGGAAAAAAATATATAAGTATACCTCTAAGGTACTGGAGGTTTCAGTTGTAGAATTTCCAGTATTATTGCTTGAGTTTGAAGACACTGTTTCATTTTTGCCTTCATTATCTGACTTTTCATCGGAACTCATACATTCAATATCTGCATCAAAGCCCGTTGGGTATCCCATTGCCTGCAGTACCTGTACAAATTACATTAAGATTCAGTTTTATTCAAATACCAGACACCACAGAGAACAGATGAAATATTGAGAACAACAGTTTCAAACCCACAACATTTGAAACGGTGAAACACCTTGCAGAAAGAGAAAGATGGTGCTAAATCTATAAATCCTCGGTTAAAAAAGTTTTACCTACCAGAGTGTCACCGTGGAAAATGGGGGAAACCTCCTCAGAGTATTTAGGTTTAAATAACGGAAAACAGAAATGCAAACCGGAGGCTACCCTGGGTTCATTTAATTTGGAGATGAGAGGTAGAGAAACAGAATAGCCAAGTTCAACCAGTGAGGTGAGGGGGAAAGTAAAATCGCACACTATGAAAAGTACACGAGGCTAGAAAGGAAAACACCTGATGTTCTAACTCTTTATTTCTCCTCTGGTCCTCAGTTTTCCAATTTGCAAAACAGGAAGACTGATTAATTGACCTCTAAGTTCTATGACTCAATCCAATAGGGGAAATTAGCACAGAAAGGAAATCAAGGAGTTTTCTTTACCTTGGAGCCAATATGCCTGTTAATTACAAAATTACATCTGAAGCTTTCTACTATCCATCCCTTTGGCTCTCCACTTAAAACCATAATCGAGACTTGAAAGAAAAGATTCAGCCTCTAGGTTTATTCTCTACCACTAAGTGAACCAGGAACAAGTTTAGGTTTGTATCTCCATCCCTGCCTCTCAAGGCCCGGTTACATTATGGCTTCCCCCAGTGTTCACTCTTCTTATATTTCTACTCATGCCTGGCATTTCTCATCTTTTTTAAAATACAGTTTTCAGAAGTGTGTGTGTGTGTGTGTGTGTGTGTGTGTGTGTTGTACACCTTTTAATATCTCCTTCCAGGTTAAACTGCTTTTTAGATGTTTGCACTAGCATTTTTATAAGCCTCTATCAAACTGGTTGACATTGCATTGTCAGTTACTGACTTAAAGGTCTGTACCAGAACTAGGTGCCTAAAAATCCCTGTATTTGTTTTAGCTTTTGACTAATGTTTAAAGTTGCTGGAGTGTAAAAGCAACAGCATATTTCTTTATAATCCCAACTATACCCAACAGGTGTCTCAAAAAACTGTTATTGGCTGCCACACAAATGAGTAGCCAAACAGTCTAGCCTTTATAAACAATGGCATTCTGTACAAAGGATTCTGCCAATATAAATAAAATATTACTCTAAACAAAAAATGGGCAGAAGTAGACTTCTGTACCTAGAGAACTTGAAATTAATTCACCCAATTCATATGGAGAACCTGACATTCTGTTGAACGTTTCAAATCGTAAATAAATTCCTTATATTCATTGGGAGTAAGGCCAAGAATACTTCTGTAACATCGTAAGTTCTAAGAGTACTCAGGTAGGACTTCGCACTAAATACACTAACATCGTTTGCCTATACCCTTGTCAATATTTATAAAGAAAACACCTTCTCCACTGCCTGAGTCCTGCAAATATGCTCTCCCTAAGAAATCGCATCTCAGAAGGAACAGTTATCGGTCTGGAGTTAACACCAGGCTAACACAGGCTGCAAGTCAAAAGCCAAGAGTCCCAAGGAAATTTGCTTTGTTTACTCCAAAAACAACTAAAGACACAGTTTCCCAATTTAATACAGACTGTTAAAAGTCTAATGTGAATTATTTAACACCACTTCTCTCTGCCCTTTCCACACATATCAGATTCATTTATTGTTTTTGTAGCAACATATTTCAATACATTTACAAATATTTTATATAACTGATGGATAATCTCAAAGGATATTAGAAGTGTACTTGCAATACAGCACAACTAACAAAAAATTTTCAAATTATTTTTCTATGAACATATTCTAAGATTATTAACATATGCTACAGAAGTAAAAAGAAAAAAGTATGGAGTTTTTGGACCTATAGAACCAGTTTGTTTGGAATCAATATTAAGGCCATGATTCTTCCTGCAGCATGAAGAGGGGCCTATAAAATATGTCCCACCTCCTTTCATGCAAGATGCATCCTCCTATTAAGGACCATAACCCTCTATTTACTTTACCATGTTGCACCATGCAATGTTTCTGCCCACCTTCACCATTTGACTGTTGGTAAAAAAGGATATTTTACTCTTTTCCATTAAGTTTGAATCCTGTTTTATCTCTGATTATAATTAACACTTGTTTCTGCAAGGTTAGCAAAATGATGACAATTGATGAAGTTCTATAATGGGCACATGGATGTGTACTGCATTATTTTACTTCGTGTTTGAAAATTCTCATAATAAAAAGTTTAAAAAACATATATTAAGGCCAAAAAACCTGGTATACCAAAGAAAAGTGAGCTTCAAATGTCTGGCAAACAAATCAAGCCTAATAAACACATCGACTGAGCTGAAAAATCACAAAATGATTCTTGGAAACAAGGTGACTGGAAAATCCAGGGTAACCACGCCTGTTTTCTCCTGGAGAGGGGTTGAGACTGAGAAAGTTGATACCCTCAAAGACAAGGGGCCAAGAGTGAAAACATGCAGCACACCCTACCCCATGGCTCTCCACTCAGGAGAAAGTCATACTCGTGGCTTCCGCACAGTAGAGAGCCGATGGCTCCGGAACCTCTGCAGAGGGGCTTTACCCCTTGTCCCCTTCAGCCGATCTTTTCCCCACAATGATTAAGATTCTTTTCATGGAACATGGCTGATTATGTCCTTAAAGGTGTCCTTTGTGAGGGACAGTCAGGAAAAAGGACTAGAGGAGGAAAGGGAAGACTGGCCACTAATCTTCATCATTTTAGGGTACGTGCTGCTGGGCAGCCACACTCCTCCTTCTGTTCTTATGTCATAGTGAATTGATATTGATATTTCAAAAGCTTTCTGGGTCAGATGCTAGAGAACTTAGATCCAAATTTGTGACTCATTCTCAGCATACTTTACAGCTAAGTTATTAAACTGTATTTTTAGCCTTATTCCTAAATTCACTTTTTCCCTCATTCTTAGTTTTCTTTCTCTGCCTCATTTTAAACTCATACTATTTCAACATACTTAAAAAGTACCCCTTTTGTAAACAACATAACATATTGTTCTATAATTTTACAGCTTAGTTATTATTTTTCTGCATTGTGCTTATTACTACCTGACAAATAATTGACCCATTTGTATATCCCGCTGTCTTTCTCCCCATTCTATCCTCACTAGAATGCAAGCTCCAGGAGGGCAAGGACTTTATTTTGATCACTGCTGTATCCTTAGCATCTAGGATAATGTTTGCATCTACATTAATAATACTTGCAAACTGGAATGACTATGAAAACAGACCAATTACATCTTATGTCATACTGTAACATAACAGAACTTTTCTTTAGTGAAAAGTAATCTTCCATCTACTTGATCTTTGACATTTTCGCATTTGTCTGCAAGAGGTCAAATGTAGTCATGGAGAGATTCCAATATTTAAGAATTTTCTATAAACCTATATGCATAATTGACTGGTTCAATCGTGGACCTTATTCTCTATGGAAATATTCTGAAATACAGAAAAGGCACCACATGCAAAAAAAAACACATTAAATTTATTTATGACAGAAAAAATCTGCAAACAGCAAAATATCCAATGATAGGGGAATGTTTAAACAAACAATAGTACATCTATATCATGTTAATCATACAGCCATTTAAAATTATTTATGAAGATTTTAATAACATAGAAAGACACTGATGACATGTGAAATGAAAAAAAAAAATCAGAGCATAAAACTACATATACACTGTGAGCTCAACCTAAAAAAAAGAAACAGAAAAGGACTGCAAGTATATACTATATACAAATATTAATGAACTGCCTCAGAGATAAGCAACCAACAGTTTTTATTCTTTTACTTTTTTGTGTTTTGCAAATTTTATATGATCAACACATTTTATAACCAAAAAAAGAAGAGTTTTGTGATCCAGAGGTGACAAAAGACTGTATGCCACTGTCATTAAAATCTTGAAAAATTCTGTTAATTTACTATAGATAAACAAGCACCTTATTTACAACATAAAATAACAAAGCACTGTTGAGTAAAAGAAATACTGTACCTTCACTGCTACGTGAAGTTTTGCTGTTTTCTTGGATGGTCCTGAGGCTTCATATGTTGTACCATCCACATCTACAGACATTGTGAAGACTGGGGCATGGACAGGGCCAGACTGAGATAAGAGCTTATATTGAAGCCCAGGCCTGATCTGATTTAGCCTCATTAGTGCATTCATAAGGTCTATTGCTTTGCTATCCAGAACTGTAAGAGAAAGAGGAATAAGATCAGAAGTTAAACCATTTTGCTTTAATCTATGTTTCTGTAGGTTCCTAGTGACCACTATAAATTCAGATTTTAAAAAAGAATTTCAAAACGCACATATAAATTAACTTCACTTCGTAATTCTAAAACTACTGCTTAATTAATTATGGTAACATCATTGTAAAAGTAATATGCATTACCATAGCTATACATTAGTTTTAGTTTGTCAGTATATTTTAAGCAAATGATGCTTGGAAACAAAAGTTATTCAATCAGTTTCTTAAAACTCCAATTCAAATCAATCACTTTTTAATTTTTATTTTCCTGAGACATAAATCCTTTCTAGTTAACATCTATAAGAATAAAGATTTTACACACTTTTCCTTAAGTTTCGTTTCATCTTCTTATTGGGATCTTTATCATCCCCTAATCCATCTTCAAATGGCCTCTTCAGAGCTGAAGACCCAGCACCTAAACAATTATAAGAGATTCATTATCAGTCAAAACAATGATTCTACTTACTCTACCAAATGTACCTAATGTGTTCAGGAAGGAAAAATCTTAGGAATCACAAGGACCATAAGACCCTTTCACTGATAAATTAAATATTTATAATCTTGTAACAGCAAAAAGTTTTAAGTGAATCTTTATGAAACAATATTATCCCTTTTTATAAATATTTATTTTCCCATTTATTCACATATACACATACAAATATCTATGCATAATATTCACATCTGTATATGCATAAATAGAAAAAAGTCTGGAAAGAGATGTATCAAAATGTTAAAGGTGGTTATCTGTGGCAGTAAGATTTATTTTCACTTATGTCTCTTCAAATATTTCTATAAGTTCACATTTATTATACTATTAATTTTTAAAGTCCACATGTTAAATATTCTGCTTATGGAAATCTGATTATTTCTCATACTATGACATATTCTTCTGTCTGCCTGTTCAAATTTCTATTCAAGATTTTATTTACAGTTCATCTTCCCCATGAAGTTTTCTTCAGTTTCCCTCTCATCTCAACTTTTTAGAAGAGTTTCTATGGTATCAGAAATATAAAGTGTCATACGTAGTCTTGTGTCATTGCCTATTTCATATACAGAGACCTTGTGTTTCCTTAGTGTTCCATGAAGGTCAAAGATATTTTCTCCTTGTCTGTATCTTATAAACTATCTAACGTAAGACTCAGAAACAACATAATGGGTATGGAACAAAAACTAACTGAACTAATATTACTCAATTTCTTAGATAAAGCAGCTAGTTAATAATGCCGTCAAGACATAAGGCAGGAGCTTTGCTGTCCAAGATAAAAACAATCAGAGAAAAGCTCATCAACCTGTCCAAGTACTACTTTAAAGAACTCTGTGTTTTCAACGTAAAAGTTGGTTGTTGGGTTTTTCCTAAAGGAAAGTTATGCTCAAAAGATTCATGCCATAAGATTTCCAGATACTTCTTAGTGAAACCTTGTAATAACACTGAGATTAACTACATATTCTCTGATCATCAAGATTTATTGTCCCTTGGGGTAAACACTGACTTCAGCATTTGCTTGAGTCAATACTTACCACTCAGGTCAATCAATCTTGATGTGCTCTCTTCAACAGATGGCAATATCTGCTTATATGTGCTTAGTATTGTATTTCATTTGCATTACATAAAACTGTGAGTTTGCCAGTCTCCCAGAATGCAGTCTTTAAGAGATAAAGTTAAAAAGGAACAACATCTATTCAATCACTCTCCCACTCATTAAGTTACATTAAAAGCTGCTCCCTGATTGCCTGGAATTCACCAGCTGGCTTAGACGTATGGATCTATTCTCTAAATCCTCCAGCTACGTGAACAGTGCTGCATGGATTAAGCTTCATTCTACCATCCCTGCCCTTGGACAAGGGCTGTAAAATCTGGAGCTAATCATAATAGTAATGGGGGGGAGCGGCGGGGTGGGGGGGGGATGGGCTTGTGTTACAAAAAGCAAGTTGTTTTCAACATCTACAGTATCTAGAAATAAGAAGTGACCATTTCAGAGGCAACAATTTTTAAAAACAATAGGTGAAGGCTTACCATATGCCTGGCACTGTTCTTAATACCTTATATGAATTAATTTATTTAAGCCTCACAAGCACCCTATGAAGCCTGTACTTTCATCATCCTCATTACAATTTTATTCATGTATTCATCCAGCAACAAATATTAATAGTTTTTCTATGTTCAGGACAATTTTAGGTGCTGGACATCTAACAGAGAACAAAACAACGTCCCTGTTCTTAAAGAGTTTGCATCTGGTGGTGGAGACTAAGCCCAACATGTCATATGGTCCCGAGCACAATGGAGAAAAATAAGAGGCTTACGGAGGAGGATGTGTTGCTATTTTTTTTTACATGTGATGCCCGTCAGAAAGGTATCACTTATAGATAAGGTAGCTTTCTGATGAAGATCTAACGAAAGTAAAAGAGTAAGCTATTCAGCTATGTGGGGAAAGAGCCCCAGGAAGAGAGAACATCAAGTACAAAGGTCTTAAGGCAGGAACATGCTAAGAAACAGCATACAGGCCTGAGTGGTTCGAGTGGCATGACGAGGACGGGACAGGAGCAGAAGATGAGCAGCAGCAGGAGCTCTCAACCTTAGCTGCCACTAAGTCACCAGAGGAGCTTCTGCAAAATACACAAGTTCCACTTCTAGTATGAGAAAGTAAGTCAACTGAAATAGATGAGAGCAACCAGAAAAGATGGACCAAATGTCTGTTCCTGGGCAACAAAGAATTATAGAGTCAAGATCCGAGAGACAAAGGAAACCCTGCTCTGGGGGCCACACTTCCCCTGGGGGTATCTTGCACATCCAGAAGAAGCCACTAAGAACTGAACAGAGCACCTCAGGCACCCCAGGTCTCAGGGGTCAAAAACTGGACTTTACGGACCTCCAAAAGGGGAAGGCTTGGTGAATTCCCCACGCTGTGGGTTGGGCCTCTGCAATGCCACATGCTAGAAGTAAATGAAGTAGAAATAGTCTGGATCTCAGAAGGACTGAAGCCCACCTTCAAATCACCTTAATCCCTGATTGCATTAATATGATCCAGATTGCCAATTCCACTAGTCATCTCCCAGAAACAAATACAAATCCTCCCTGGAGCACTATATCATTACTCTAAGCTTTAATTCCCTCCAAAATTTTTAAATTTAAGTCTCCATCACTCAAAACAAAAACAAAACACAGGTACATGAGAAGACAAGATACTGTGATCAAAAATCACGAGAAGCAGCAGAAAACAGAAACAGATCCCAAAGAGACCCAGACGATGAAGCATTCTTTCAGAAACAAACTTTATTAAAAAGAATGATTAGGATGCTCAAAATGAAAATAAAAAATCAAGAAGAATTTGTGGCAGAAAATCTGAAACTATAAAAGAGCCAAAATTGTAGAAATTAAAAACTGACAGACCTGCAAGGGGAAACAGACGATCCACAATAGAGGGGAACTGGCATACCTCTCTCAGTAATTAAGAGAACAAGTTAAAAAAATATGTATGTATGTGTGTATGTGTGTGTGTGTGTGTGTGTATACAGGTATATAAGATTTGAACAACACAATGAACAAATGCAACCTGACATGTAAAGAATATTCTGGCTCTACCAACTACAGAATATACATACTTTTCAAAGTATGAATCATTTATAAAAACTGACCATGTGCTGAGCCATAAATGAAGTTTCAAGAACTACCAAAGGAAAAAAATCACACAAAGCATGTTCTCAGATCACAGTAGAATAAATAAGCTCAAATATAAGGAGATAACGGACTTCCCTGGTGGCACAGTGGTTAAGAATCTGCCTGCCAATGCAGGGGACACGGGTTCGAGCCCTGGTCCGGGAAGATTCCTACATGCCATGGAGCAACGAAGCCTGTGAGCCACAACTACTGAGGCTGCGCTCTAGAGCCCACAAGCCACAACTACTGAGCCTGAGTGCCACAACTACTGAAGCCTGTGCACCTAGAGCCCTTGCTCCACAACGAGAAGCCATCGCCATAATTAGTCCGTGCACCGCGATAAAGAGTAGCCCCTGCTCACCACAACTAGAAAGCCCGCGTGCAGCAACAAAGACCCAACGCAGCCAAAGATTAAAAAATTATTTAAAAAATTAAAAAAATAGGGATAACTAAAAAATCCTCATTTGTCTGGAAATTAAGCAATGACATCGAAATGGCTTACATGTCAAAGAACTGATAACAGGAAAATTAAAAAATAGTTTTAACTAACTGATAATGAAAATGCTAATGTAAAGAGAGTACAAAGCACATAAATCTGGGCATAAAGGAGAACTTAGTCTTAATAGTATATATGATAACGTAAGAGGCTTAAAAAAACGCCAACAATGTATTCATCTATTTCAAAACATTTAAAGAAGAACAGCAAATTAAACCTAAAGAAGGTAGTGAGGAAAAACAAAGGATAAGAGCAGAAATCAATGACATAAAATACAAGCATATACCAGGAGATGATCAACAAAGTCAAAAGTTTATTTCTTTTTAAAGACTAAAAAAACTGATAAACCTCTAGTGAGAGCGATCAGAAAAAAAGGAGGTACAAAACGTATAAGACAGGACATCAATACTGCAGACAATAAAAAGATAAAAGGATCTTATAAACTACTTTATTTTTAAATTTAGATTAAATGGACAAATTCTTAGAAAAACACAATTTACCAAAACTCTCATAAGAAGATGATAGTTCGATGCCTATTAAGGAAATCAGATCCATAATTTAAAACCTTTCCTTAAAGAAAACCTCATGCCCAAATGGCTTCACTGATAAATTCTTCCAAACATTTAAGGAAGAAATAACATCAATCTTACACACACTCTTCCAAGGAACAGAAAAAGAAGGACGGACACTTCCCAACTCATAAGACCCACATAACCTCAGAACCAAAACTTGACGAAACATTACAACAAAGGAAAACTGCTGGCCAATCTAACACACAAAAATCTACGTTTTTGTGAATTGCTCACAAAAACCTACACAAGATTGTTCACAGCACCTTTATTTGTAATAGCCCAAAACTGGAGACAAACAGAATGTCCTACAATAGGTGCATGGTTAAACCAAACTCTGATTCATTCATGCCACGGAATCCTACTTAACAGCAAAAAGAAACAAAACTATTGACACGTGCCAAACAACTTGGATGGGCCACAAGGGCATTATGCTGAGTTAGGGGACGAGAATCTCAAAAGATCAGATAATGATAACTTCATTGACATAAAATCCTTGAAATAACAAAATTATAGAGATGGAGAAAAGTTAGTGGTTTCCAAGGCTTGGGGATGACTGTGGGAAGAGGAATGGTGTTACTATAAAGGGGCAGCATAAACGAGATCTTTGAGGTGATGAAATAGTTCTGTGTCTTGATTGCTATGGTGGTTACACAAACCTACAATGTGATAAAATGGCATAAAACCTATACACA